GGCCTGGTCTGCCCTGCCATAACATACAGTTTTCAGGTTACATTTCCACTTTCTAGGATAAAGCTCCGCCCAAAGCCGTTGGCACAATATGGGATGTCAAAAATGCTATACGCTGCCCAACATTCAGTTTTAACAGAAAACAGGTAGTACGGGTTCTGTTGTACATAGTTCAGTCAAATCTGACCCAGTGCTGACCTGTGTAATTTATCTTACTATTTCAAATATTGATTTGTTTAAGATAGAATCTGTGTCATGAATTTTTACGTTATCTAATATTGTACCATTTAAATAGTGGATAATCGTTTTGATTATACTCGCTAATTGTAGCTTTAGGAGAAACCAGCCACTCAGTCTTGTATATTATGGCTTTGACTCCTAGATCATGGGAAAGCCAAACACTTTAACTCCACAGACAGTAACCAGAGCCGTACTAAAATACAGTCACCCTAGGCATTAGCCTTAGAGCTGCACAAGAACTCCTGTGCTAACTTATGTACAGATCAGAATTTAACATTCAGTTTCCTGTAATCTTTTCCAGAATTAAAATCTCAAACTTTTGTGTCAACCAGTTCATCAATAATAAAACCATTTATCGTAATTTCACATTATTGATTACTTACTGCGTCACGTTATTTAACACAATTTGGTGTTATTTTAAAGCACCACTCCGGCTGTCGTCTAGGGTCCTAATATAACCTAATGGTTAAATACGGTTTCTGGGACTTGCGCCCGAGTGATTCTCATCCGAAGGATGACACTTTGTGTCACTGGGTGTTTATCGCTCCTTGTGCGGTCCTGGTGGGGTTGAATGTCAGGCAATTCCACATTACAATTGTTTTATTGCCGTTAGTATGATTTAGTAAATAAACTATTTTTGTGGGTGTGACATTTGAACTGCAGTTGTATTGTCCAAATGCAATTCAGCAAGACCCACCTACAGTGGAGGTAACCTTTTTATGGTGCACTAGTATAACATTGCTATAAGGCTGTACTGCTAAATGGGGTTCCCGTGATTTTTAATTGTTTGAGTGACATTCTTGTGATGTCAATTGAGCAGGTTGTAATCCTGGAACAGGAAACTAACTAAAAGCAACCAAAATAACAACAAAAAACACAAAGAAAACAACAACAACAACAACAAACTTTGTCCAAACGATTGTATAAATAATTCTCAGTGCCAAATAATTCAGTTTTTTTCTTCTTTTAAATGTCAAAACATTTATTTTTGGATAATTTTCATTTTTATTTTGGTGAGTTGTTATTTAAACAGGAGCCGGTGTAAAGCAACAGAAAATGGGAGTTCATGCACTTTGAGCCCACTTCCTCAGTTAAATGTTTGGTAAGGAGGATGGCTGAACTACCAACCCTAGAAAATTTGCAAGGGGGATAACAGGGTTTAATTCGCAAGGGAGATAACAAGGTTTAATCCACTTGAGGCCTCCACCTTAAAATTATAAGATAAATTAGAAGTGAGCCGAACTACCACCCCACTCCCCACCCCTACTCATCGCATTTGATTCAAGATTTATTTGTTTTGGTGACCCTTATATAGGCCAACAACTTCAAACGTCTCAATTCGGCTCTGATTGAGACGAATCTTATTGGCGTTTCATTGAGTTCTGGAAGCCCCAGTTTCAGGCCTAAGTGAAGACTTGCATATGTCCAAATTGTTTATCTTGCCGTCCTTTTTAGGATGCAATTTTTCGTAATTTGAAACCCTACTCTGGCTCATGCCAGGGGTCGCAATATAGCCCGCCCATAAATATGTCCTAATGGCTGAACGCGGTTTCTGGGACCTCTCCGCGGTGATCCTCATCCACATGGTGGCACATTGTGTCATCAGGTGTTTATCGCGGGTAGAAAGTCAGTGAAAACTGGGTTATTTTTTGCGTGGACTTCTGGTAATTTTCCCTGGTCTCGAATAGTAAGATTAGACGCCCGTAAAAAATCCCTTGGCAGTTGGAAATCGAAAAGGGGAGCCTAAAGCTCCCCGGGGAAAATTCGGAGTTTAAATCTACCTAAAGTATATTAGGATCCTCGCCAGTGCTACGAAGTTCATGCACTGTGCTGAGCTTTTTCGGACTCAAGAGGCTTGAGTTAGAAGAAGAACGGAGCACTTATGGGTTACTAATCTTGTACCACTATGGTGATACGTTGAATAGACCATAAATCATTTGTGATATATATATATATATATATATATATATATATATATATATATATATATATATATATATATATATATGTGTGTGTGTGTGTGTGTGTGTGTGTGTGTGTGTGTGTGTGTGTTTCCCTAAACTGACAAGTCGGTCAGTCAGTCCCGCAAGCACCGGTCATACCGCCCAGCTACCCGAAAGATATTAGGTCAGTAATCCACGCCTTAGCCTTACCGGAGGGGGGGGGGGGCGCTCGGTTTTGGTTTTTGTCAGTTTTGTCCAGTTTGTAAATTTGCTGAAAGACTTGGTCCTTCTGACCAGACTCGGTGCAGCAGGCTACACTTTGATCTTAGCCAGCAGGCCAAGTGTAGTGGTTACCGCATCTGCCTAACACACAGAATGTCCTGGGTCAATTAGTAATGCTCACGCAAGACAAATAAACTAACCAAACAAGGTTTATAACCCACCAAGGAGAAAAAGATCCAAAGCCAAACAATTCCATCAAAGAACTACTATTTTCAGACGACCAAGCACTAATTGCTACTTCAGAAACTGAACTGCAAGACCATATACATTTTTTAACCAAATGTGGAAAGAGCATAACATGAAAATTATTGCCAACAAAACAGAAGCCGTCCCCATAGCCAAATTAAATAATATATATATATATATATATATATATATATATATATATATATATATATATATATATATATATATATATGTGTGTGTGTGTGTGTGTTCAGCCTATACAGAATACGCTCTGACAAATCAGGAACTGTGAATACTTAAGAAACATAATATAATCAGCTGGCAAAATTAGATTGATGACAGATGTAAAAAAGTAAACCAACTTATTGAACTAATGATACTAATACTAAGAAATAAAGTAAAAACCAGAAAAGCACTCTATGCGAATCTTTTGCCAACCCTGTGTTGTTAGTGCCAGACCTGCACAATGACAAGGGGGGGGGGGGGAGAGAGAACATACAAATTACGACTGAAACTAGATTCCTGCGAATGACTCTCGTTATAACAAGAAGGGACCAAATTTTTTTTTTTAAGGTTCCAAATATGTTGGTAGCAGCCGCTCTGAATGTCGTAAGAAGACAGCCGGTGAAATGGTTTGGCCATGTAAAGCGGATGTTAGCAGACAGTAGACCACAGCAAGCAATGATGTACAGACTAGGCAGGAAGTGAAGAAGAGACCGACCATGCAAGCCATGGACAGAGGGAATAACAGTCCTTGTGAATCCCTTTCTAAGAAGCAAACTGGAACTTTCCCGTAAATTGTACTTCACCTTGACACTGTCCAGTACCAGGGGACCAAGATGAGATGTGATGAGTATAATTACTAAAATTAGACCGATGCAAAGAAGATTAGCATGGCTCTCTTGCATGGATGACGCACAAATTTGTGAAGCGATCCATATCATACAGTGTATAATTCACTGTGTCTTCACAGAGCTGTCGACTTGACCACCGTTTTATAAGACTGCGAATGTCCCAAAACCGTGTTGGTCGCAAAAATACTGTTCGAATAAAATATCTTACTCGGGTATGTGTAAAGCAGACTCAAGTGTTGTTTACAGTGTCCAGTGGATATGTCAGCGTAAACTGCGTGGGTTTTTGTAATCGTTACAACGTATTGTTCAATTGTGTTTAAGACTATATTTGTGAGCATAGCTCATGATGCGCGTGTCGTTGACGGCTAGACGTCCGCCTGCGAATCGGAGGGTCGTTGGTTCGCGTCAGGGAGCTGTCCTTTTTTTTCAGAAATGACTTGACTCCCAGGTTGACCCAGCCTTGAGTACCAGGGTGTCAGGTGCAGTCCTGGAAAGTAAAGGCGGCCTGCTGACCACATCACGTACCAAGTGCTGATTGGTCTATAAAAACATAGGCCTAGCCCTATATTCCCTATTTGCCAGAAGGCATGGAAAAAAAACCTGGACCTAAATATTGTGAGGCTTGCTGATATACTTTTGGACCGGTTTTTATATCTTTCCGTGATGTACAAGCAGTTACTGGTACCATCGGAATTAGAATTCTTCGCTTGCCGATGAAGATTTTTTTTTTTTTTTTTGCCGATGAAGATAGGGACGGAGCGCTTATGGGAGTGTCCCGAGTGCTATGATGTCGATTCTTAATTCAACTTTTTTTAAGCAAAAGTTAATGGTCGACGTTTGGTGCAGGAGAGCCTGGCATATGATACCACAACATCCAGCTTAAGAATGGAGGTGGAGGCGGTCACTGCAGCTTTCCGCTGGCTAGAGAACACAACACACACACACACACACACATTGTAATTGTAACTGATTCAGAAAGCATGCTGAGGAAGATCAGAACTGGTATGCTTCGTGCAGAGTGGCATGCTTCGCTGCGGAGGACACGAGTGAGGAGTATTGTCTGGATTTTTTCACCGGGTCACGCCGGTGTGTTGGGAAATGAACAGGCGGACGGACTGGCTGGCTCTGCACAACTTGGTGGAATACTGCTACATGATAGGGCAGACGTGGTTAGTGCCTTGTGGGAGAGCGTGTACAATGCGGAGGAGCAGATGGATCACCACAGTTTGGTGAAATTGATGCAGTTGGGGGTGACGAGAGGTTCTGACAGAAACTCAAGTTTCAGAGGAAAGGCAAGACGAACATTTAATCAGAAAGCTACTGGCACAATTAGTATCGGAACTTTTCGCTGGCTGCTGAAGATGGAGACGGAGCGCCTATGGGAATGCCCCGAGTGCTGTGATGTCGGTTCTTGAATCAAATCAAATCAATTCAACATTGACATTTCGCACAATTGGCATTTTGCGTTAATTTACGGCAATTATCGTCAGTGAGCAAGATGGCCGCCCCCTTGAACGAAGAGATTCAGCGGCTGTCGTTCTATAACATTCGCCCTGTAATATTACATGGCTACATTTTCCCGTTTCTGTTAATTGTGGCCGCCTGGGCTTACACTTGGACATCAGTGTATGGCGTTGAAGAACATTTTGAAGGGGGCTTAATTGCTCTAGCAGCTATCGGATTGTTGCAGATTCTGACGGCGTTGTTTTGTTTGTGGTCGGTACACGTCAGATGCGCGTTGACCTGTTCACGGGTAGGAGGCTAGTTTCACTAGCTTTTGTTGTTTGTCTCTTGAACTATTTTATTTTTATGGATGGGTATGTATTCCTTTCATTTGAGTTGAGTCCATAACTGATATCACAATAAGTGATCCACCCTGACGAATCCCAGCACATGAGCACAAGATGCTTTCCTTTGAATCAACCCCCAAAATGGCGGCATGCCACATTCTGGCCATGAAATATCCAAAAATATCCGAACGACGGTGTTCGCGTATATCTAAAATACGGACTTTCTGCCAAGGAAATCGCGGCAAAACTAGGATTGCTTGACAATCAATATTCAGTGAATATTCAATATCAACTTTGCACACCGCGGTAGTAGCAGACGATAAATACCGACCGTTGACAATTTCGAGCGTTTCTGCAGACGATGCTAGAAGACGATATTAGCAACCGTTGACCAATTTCGAGACATTACAGACGATAAAAGCCGATTAGCAATACTGTGTTCTTCTGATTGGAGGATTTAGCAGCGGTAGATGTCATACTTGTCGGCATGCGCCAAACGCGATTAAACTCATCGCCGATTGTATCTCCCACGCCGCTATGCGCAGCGCGGATGGGGAGCTAAACTAGGTGCCTGGGACTCACGAGTAAAGTAATTTGAGGAAGTTGCAGGAGATGCGGTAGCCGCCGCTCGTGAGTCCCAGCCATCTAGTTTAGTCCCCATCCGGGCCGTGCGTAGCGGCATGGGGGATACAGTCGGCGGTGAGGCACACTCGCAGAAGCAGGTCCGCAAGTAACATATCGCTGAGACCCTGTTAGAGCATTTGTTTCGTTATACGGAGCCCCGGCATATTTTTAATAGAACTGAGCCCCATTAGGATATTTTTAGATATTTTATGGCTAGAAATTGGCCAATTTAGCTCTCTTTCGAACGCCATCCTATTTCCACCATTTTGGGGGTTGATTCAAAGGAGAGCCGAAATATATATGGCGATGGTCATCGTCTCAGATTTGGTAGTGGAAGAATATGCTTTTTCTCCACACTGAGGGAATACATGTTCCGTTAGTGTCCTTCCCTAAGTACTAGGTTAGATGAAATACCTAGTGGAAGTACAGTCTGATATTAAAATTAAAATGTGTGTCAGATTTCCGTCTGGTAATACTATTACTCTCCTGAGTGTCGGTGTTGACTATGACAGTTTAGTTTCAGTGTTTACCTCCTCATGTGGGTTCCGAGGTCCCATTGTCACATATTGTGAGGGAAACAAGATCTAGGCCTACTGCCTCCCTAGCACGCATGTCGTGAGTGTCAACTAACTGGGGGCTTCCAACAACGGGGAGTGCATCTGCCTGAAAGGTAAAGAGTCAACACTCTGCATACAAGTAAGCCAGATTTGTCAACAGATGTGCACACACAACTCCAGTTCTGGAACAAGACTACAAAGTCCAGAAGTGGATGAAGAGCCAGAATTTTCTGCCAGAGTTAAACAGCCAGCGAATGCGAAGCAGAACAAGAATTTTCACCTCAGCACTGACGTCTTTCAGAATCCCTACTCATCCATGCTGAATTAGTCTTTCACTGCATGGAGACATTGAATCTTGTCGTGTTTTCTGCAGCACTGTCCACTTGATACCAGAAGTTTTCACCATGTCCACCGTACCAAAAAAGTAGCTCACCGAACACAGAAGAGACAGCAGCCAGTCTGTCATCATGTACATTACTCTGAACACAGAATGACCTGGACAGAACATCCATTCTATGCTCTTAATTTGCATCTTATCAGATACCCAGTATGTTTGTACTGCTTAAGCATTTTCATCTGTCCTTTGTTGTTTCAGGTCAGCGATCCATTCAAAGCACAGTGGGTGAAAGTTGTACCAACTCCCAACAATGGCTTCACAGAGTTGGTCAAACTCCATCATAAACGAGTACGTAACTTTTTCCCAAAGTCTTTCTAGTTTGTTTAACAGTCTGTCTCTCTGCTTCTGTCTGTCCATCTGTCTGTCCACGTGATTATCTGTATTTTGCCTGTCTGTCTATGTTTGTCTGTCTGTCCATCTGTCTTTCACTCTGTCTCAAAAACTCACAGTCCCAGCACTTCTGTCTGTATCAGGATGCTATAAATACTGCTGACTCTGCATTGTATTTCTCAACGAGAAGCCTAATTGATGGAATTGGATTCTGGTTACACCTGTGCAATCTGTAATAGGCACAGATATTATATATACTAAAAATAGCATTTGCCGGAAAAAAAGGGGGAGGGGGTGTTTGCCTACAAAATTGCTTCTTCAAAGCCATTTTAAGTTGATCACTAGCCGACTTAGCTTTAGAATTTTGAGGAGGTCATTGTGTGAGTACTCCAGAATATTTTGTAAAGGCCCAGTGGAATTTAATTTATGTAATTCTTACCTGCTTTCGAGTTTACTGATTTGTCATCATCATCATATGCCATGATGGTAAGCGTAGGTGGTCATGTTTTGCCAACTCACATGATAACCAAAATCACGAATCAGGTCATAGTTCTGGTCTTGCCCCGTCCATGTGGCCAAACCATCCAGGTATTTACGTCAGAGTTTCTTCACCAGTTGATTTTGTTTAGTTCTGTCTCGGAGCTCACTGTTATTCTATCATGCCATTTAATTTCCCCTCTATTCTATGCAGGCACCAGTTAATAAATGTTTGAAGTTAATTAGTAATCGGTATAGTTATTCTTCATGTTTCCGCTCTATACTCCAGTATTTACTTTTTTTTTTTTTTTAAATACATTTTTTTTTCTTACAAATATTATCAGATGAAAGATTTGGATTAAAACATGTTCATGACACTCACCCCACCCTCTTTTCTTTGCAAACAGGAGCCTGGTGATGACCCATTGTGGTTTATCTTCCAAAAAACCAAGTATTTATATGATGCAGAACGCAAGCAGTTTGTTTCGGTATCATTTCCCATCGACCAGTCAATTCAGTTCTACATGGACTGTAAAGGTTATCAGGAGGATGAAGAAGTTGCAGCTGCTGAGAAGAAATTCGGCAAGAACTCGTAAGTTTAGAATCTAGTTTTGTTTTTATATATTAAGGGACGGTTGTAATTTGTACCCTGCCTTATAAGGACATGTAATTGACACATTTTATTTTTATTTTTTGTTCATTTTTAGTCTACCCACAACTTAGACTGGCACACTTATGTTATATCCTCAAAAGACCTTAGAAATAAAACCTCATTTTTTTAAAACTAAAGCAAAAAACTCTTGACTGTTTCTTGTCATTATCACTCAGCAGGTCTTTACAGAATTTCACACTCGTCACTGCACACCTGAAAGTCCATCTGTCTCCGGTAAGTTCTCTAGCGCTATGTGCTTTCATAGCAAGTGCATCTTCAGTGTCCTGTATCCATCTTCATAGAGGCCTGCCTTTGCAGAAACTGTACTCTCTACCGACATTCTGTTCAGGCTGCCAAGACATTTAACATGCAAAAATACCTCAGCTTTCACTACATTATGCTGTTTATGAGCCAGTGACAGGATGCTGTTTATGAACCAATGACAGGGTGCTGTTTATGAGCCAGTGACAGGATGCTGTTTATGAACCAGTGACAGGATGCTGTTTATGAGCCAGTGACAGGATGCTGTTTATGAACCAGTGACAGGATGCTGTTTATGAACCAGTGACAGGATGCTGTTTATGAACCAGTGACAGGATGCTGTTTATGAGCCAGTGACAGGATGCTGTTTATGAACCAATGACAGGATGCTGTTTATGAACCAATGACAGGATGATGTTTATGAGCCAGTGACAGGATGCTGTTTATGAACCAATGACAGGATGCTGTTTATAAACCAATGACAGGATGATGTTTATGAGCCAGTGACAGGATGCTGTTTATGAACCAATGACAGGATGCTGTTTATGAACCAATGACAGGATGCTGTTTATGAACCAATGACAGGATGATGTTTATGAGCCAGTGACAGGATGCTGTTTATGAACCAATGACAGGATGCTGTTTATGAGCCAGTGACATGATGCTGTTTATGAGCCAGTGACAGGATGCTGTTTATGAGCCAGTGACAGGATGCTGTTTATGAGCCAGTGACAGGATGCTGTTTATGAGCCAGTGAGAGGATGCTGTTTATGAGCCAGTCTTCCTTGATGTTCAGGTCGTGTTGGATGTTAGTGTTTTTTTCTTCTTCTTGGTCCATGACATTCTAAAACATTTTCTGCAGCATTCCAGTTGTGAAGCTATAATTTCTTTTCTTCTGGTGACTGAGTGAGAGTCTGTGACTGACATCCATTAGTTGTCAGGGAAAAGATGCATAATCTCACAATTTTTACTTAAACTCACTTGCAGAGGCTGTGCCATCATTTTATTATTGTTTTTAATGTTTTACTTTCCTTAGCCTTTTACAGATCGGAATATAAACATACTTAGCCATTTGCTTTAGGTTTTAATAGTCATGGGTTCATTTCTTGGATGCATCACTTAGTTCACAAGTGCAGTTTTTATGGGGATCCTTGGGGATCTTGGCTGGAGCTATGGAGTTTGTGCTTTCTGTGTGACACTCTCATCAGGTGTCTAGCCGTTCTGTGGAGAGAGACCCAGCTGTATTGGTTAGCCCAGTGCACAGAAGCCGATTTTCCTAACTTTGACTTTCTTCTTCTTCTTTGTGCTCACAGGCTGTTAACTCAAGCAGAAAGTTCTGGTTGTTCGTCTACTTCTGGACCTTAGTCCTGTTCCAGAATTCGAGTTTTGTGTGCACATCCATTTTACACTTCTGGCTTATTTGTAAGCCGACTGTTGGTTCCTCACTTCTCAGGCAGATGCACTCTGACCTAAAGAAAACACCTCTAACTAGTTGACTTTTATGACATGCTTGGTTAGGGAGGCTGTGGGTTTGTTCTTGTTTCCACCCAAAATGGCGCGCTAGAACTGACACATACGCTAATTTGACTTGAATAAATTTTCTTCTCTTCACAACTGCGTTGGTAGTCATGTCTATCCACAACCTTCTGACTCATGTACTTTCAGTCAACTCTGACACAGAGGATCCTACATGCCATGTGGCCTTGGTAGTCATGTATATCCACAACCTTCTGTCTCGTGTTCTTTCAGTCAATTCTGACACAGATGATCCTACATGCCATGATGTCAGACCGTCTGCCATCTTCTCTCTTGGTCTCCCTCTACCTCTCTTCCCCTCCAGCTTTCCTACTGTCACAATGTACTCTAATTTTCTCCTTCTCATCACATGATCAAAGAAAGTAGACTTGTCTTTCTGATGTGGGCAATCAGTTCTCTTTGTGAGTCTGTTTCTTTCAAGACGACTTCATTCTTTAGATCATAATATTGTTGATTTTGGCACATATTTACTAAGCCTAGTTGGCAGGAAGCAGTAGAGCTGGTGTGGCTGGTTCAGAGTTGATCCTGCCCAAGATCTCTCTTGTCTTCACATGGAGCAGCATCCTAGGAGGCTGCTAGTCTGGCTAATAACTGCAGGATTGACTTTGATCTGTATTATGATAGAAACTGCTGATAACTCAAGCTTTGTATGACTCGATGCCTATGAAAAAAACCATTAGGTGACAAAGTGAAAAGGTTAAGGAAGGACCCTTTTCCATGCATTTAGTCATATTGTACTTATAGTGCTAGACCTGCTTTTTTTTTTTTTAGAACAATCAGCACTTAATGGGTGATATGGTCAACATCACACTGGTCGCCTTTACTTCCCAGGACTTCACCTGGTACCCATTTAAGGCTGGGTCAAGCTGTGACCCAAAGTCCTGTGGCAAGACAAGATCACAAACACTGAGGTATTGGAGAGAGCAGGTATCACCAGTTTTCTCGGTATTCACTATTAGAAGGCTCAGATGCCTAGGACAAACTGCCTAGGACACACTGCCTAGAACACACTGCCTAGAACACACTGTCTAGAACACACTGCCTAGAACACACTGCCTAGAACACACTGCCTAGGACACACTGCCTAGAACACACTGCCTAGGACACACTGCCTAGAACACACTCAGAGGACCAAGCATGGAAGAGTCCCGAAGGACATCCAGTATGGGGAGATATCAGCTACTTCTGTGATTTAAACAAAAGGCGAGACATGAAGGATACAGGTATTGAGATGGATTCATGGGAGCAGGGTGCTATGGGCTGTGTTGCATGGAAGGGGACAATCAGGAAGGGAATAGGAGTAAAAGCAGAAACGACTGCTGATAGTTTGAGAGCTAAGTATCTGAGAAATAAAACACACATTAAATTCATATGATGGCTGAAACCCCATGCTCTAATAGAGGAAGATTCTCTTAATCTGAGCGAGTTTTGCTAGTCACACTCACCGTGACCATGGGCTGGGATTCCCACGCCTTCCTCTAGCACAGTTTAACACTATCATCTGGAAAGAGGTTAACTATGTAACTGTCATCCAAAATTGTCGGTGCTATTGTCTTGCATCGGCGTCTGTGGCTTAGGCGTTGCAAACACGCTTCGTAATGCCAGGTGCCAGATTCTATCCCAGCTGCAGACGATCTGTCCTACTTTGGTTTTGACAGTAGTACAGGGCTGACCTTTCGGTAATCAATGGCAAACTACTTAATGTAAAATTTGCCTAGAAAAATAACAGTAAATAAATGCTGGGGTTGGTTTTATAATGTCCTGAAAAGGGGATGCAACTAACTTTTTTTTTTAAATTTGTCGTGCAGAATGGTCATGGACATCCCCAAATTTGTGGAACTTTTCAAAGAACGAGCAACTGCTCCGTTTTTTGTTTTTCAGGTAGGGATGAAATTCGGCATTATATTCTTTTTCATGTTAATTTTTATCTTTTCTAAGTGATTTGTTATATCCATAATTTATTTTTTGCGTGCTTTGTTTTTATTTTTGTTTTACATACATTTGTTGTGTTTCTTCAAGTTAGATTATGGGAGAATTTTTGTTGACAGTGAATTCTTTGTTTATTCAGACCTGAATCTGTATCATGTGACCTCTTAACAATAACTGTGATTTGTAGTTGTAGAAACTCATTATGTTCTTATTTTCTCTTGCTATTCATGAAATATTGATATTTAGAATTGATTAATACGTTGAAATTGTAGGTATTTAGAATTGATTATTTTCAAATAATACTTAACTTGGCCAGTTATAGCCGTAGAAATATATCTATATTAAACAGATAGACAGTATATTGATCAGCACTCATAGAAAGAAGTAGAAGGATAGAGGAAACACTAAACAACATAACAATCGAAAGCTATATTTACCGGGCCAGGAATCGAACCTGTTACCTCCAAATGGTGTGTGCACCTTGCTGTGGAAACAAATCTATTAAGAACATGACCAACTAGGCACTAGGTGATTCTAGCTTTCTTTCTACTTCTTTCTATGAATGCCAATCAATACATTGTTTGTTTGCTCATGAGAGATGTATACAAATAAGTCAGATTGGTAAAACAAATGTACATGCAAACTCAAGACCAAAGACCAGAGGTGGACAAACAGCCCTAACTTTGCACTGGATTTTACAGCCAGTGAACACAAAGAAAAAAGAAATAACAGCTCTACATTGTTATTGTGCAATATTAGTAATCATTGCTGAAAGTCAATCATGTGATCAGAATCTTGCATTTGTTATTTCTAGTTTTTTTGTCATTAAATATTTCATGGTATTTGTGTGTGTTGTTTCTGTGTAAGGTCTTACAGTTGGATGTGTTGTATTATAGTGTTTCTGTGTGATATTTCTGTATACTGTATGGTGTTACAGTTAGATGTGTTGTATTATAGTTTTTCTGTGTGATATTTCTGGAAACTGTATGGTGTTACAGTTAGATGTGTTGTTTTATAGTTTTTCTGTATGATATTTCTGTATACTGTATGGTGTTATAGTTTGATATGTTGTATTATAGTGTTTCTGTGTGATATTTCTGTATACTGTATGGTGTTACAGTTGGATGTTTTGTATTATAGTTTTTCTGTATGATATTTCTGTATACTGTATGGTGTTACAGTTGGATGTGTTGTTTTATAGTGTTTCTATATGATATTTCTGTATACTGTATGGTGTTACAGTTGGATGTTTTGTATTATAGTTTTTCTGTATGATATTTCTGTATACTGTATGGTGTTACAGTTGGATGTGTTGTTTTATAGTGTTTCTATATGATATTTCTGTATACTGTATGGTGTTACAGTTTGATGTTTTGTATTATAGTTTTTCTGTATGATATTTCTGTATACTGTATGGTGTTACAGTTGGATGTGTTGTTTTATAGTGTTTCTGTATGATATTTCTGTATACTGTATGGTGTTACAGTTAGATGTGTTGTATTATAGTTTTTCTGTATGATATTTCTGTATACTGTATGGTGTTACAGTTAGATGTGTTGTTTTATAGTGTTTCTGTATGATATTTCTGTATACTGTATGGTGTTACAGTTAGATGTGTTGTTTTATAGTGTTTCTGTATGATATTTCTGTATACGTGTATGGTGTTACAGTTAGATGTGTTGTTTTATAGTGTTTCTGTATGATATTTCTGTATACTGTATGGTGTTACAGTTAGATGTGTTGTATTATAGTTTTTCTGTATGATATTTCTGTATACTGTATGGTGTTACAGTTGGATGTGTTGTTTTATAGTGTTTCTGTATGATATTTCTGTATACTGTATGGTGTTACAGTTTGATGTTTTGTATTATAGCGTTTCTCTTTGGCGTTTAGGTTTTCTGTGTGGGGTTATGGTGTCTAGATGAGTACTGGTACTACTCTGTGTTTACCCTGATCATGCTGATAGCATTTGAGGCCACACTTGTTCAGCAACAGTTGCGGAACATGGCAGAGATCAGGAAAATGGGCAACAGACCCTACCTCATACAGGTACACATTTTCTCTCTTCTTTATTTTTTTGGGAAAGATTGCTTTAGTTGCACAAGTTTCAAGACAGAGGGTCAACTTTATGGTACTGGGTTCTATCCCATACGGCAAGGCTATTCAACAGAGCTCACTCAAAGGCCAGAATATTGAAAATGGGAATCGTCACAGGCCAGAGGGCAGAAATTTAAACAACATTAACTTGATCAATGGAGAAGAATCTTTTGTAAATCTGGCCAAGACATGTTTAATAGTTCTGAAATGTGGGCAGAAATATTAAATACATGCAATGGCAACAGTTCCAAAATCCCATACTTCATTTGTGGAAGATTCTTCTTAATGTAAAACAGGCATGTACAGATCGCTCAGGTGTACTTGAAACTAAAGAAAGCAGCAGAAAATAGCTACTGTGGAATTGCACACTAATAAAGCAGACTAATGGCCAAAATGGCTAATAGCGGGTTGACACTTGGAAAAGTTATTTGTTTCCAGCTACATTTTGCTGATGCGATTTCCCCCATTTCTGGACTAGGCGCCCAGAGGTTCTGTCACCTAGCTACTGTGGAATGTAGATTTTATGAGAAATTTTTTATTTTTTGTTGGGTTATACCTGCAGTGTGTTGTTACCTGCACTAGAACTGTGGGTGGCTGATTATGTTCAGTTTCATGTGTACTTTTTGCAGGTGCAGTGTTGGCTTTCATGATTGACAATTACCACCAGCAGTGTAGCTGCAGTTCTGTTATGGGACTGATAGTGTTGACACATCTGACAGCTGCTGTATACATTTTAACGGTGCGTGTGCAAGCTTAAAGATTTTGCTAGGACTGACAAGTTTTTTCACTAGTTTTAACATGGGAACTGAAAGACATTTGTGTGATTTCTAATGTCAAGGAATGGAGCCGTCACACAAGACCCGTCTGCAGTGTTGCTGGAATTCTGACGACTAATGACTAAAATGGGCATGAAGCTTCTTGACGGCCTAAAGGTCGGAAATATTTGAGAATGATAACAGTTTTGCACATGGAGCTTTATTTTTTTTCGACTCTTGATATTTGTGGTCTTGGTGTAATTAAGTAATTCTTTTTTTTTCTGTTCTTCTGGTAACTCTAGGTTTACCGAAACAGGAAGTGGCTGAAAATAATGACAGATGAGCTTCTTCCTGGAGATATTGTATCCATAGGTGAGTAAGGAGGAAACAGCGTGTGATATCTTCTTCTTCTTGGCGTTCACCAGCTGTAAACTCTGGCAGAAAGTTCTGGTTGTTTATCCATTTCTGGACTTTAGTTTTATTCCAGAACTTGAATTTAGCTTGCATATCCATTTTACAGATCTAGTTTACTTGTGTGCATACTGTTGGTTGCTCACATTTTGGGCTGATGGGCTCCGACTTTAGGGACAAAATTCCTTAGGGAGGAAGTGGGTCTGTTCTTTACCCCCAAGATGGGGCCCCAGAACCCACATGGGAACCATGTCATATGATAATTCTTTCTGTGCTGGACAGTTCTTACATCATTTCAGCACTTGGATAAAGACACCCGTCAATGTGTAAAATAAAAAAATGTAGAAGTAAATGCTGCATATAGGGTACATGAAATGGGGTATGAATGATACAGGTATTAAGGTAGATTCATGGTTACAAAATGGCATGCATCGTGTTGCATGGAGTGAGAAAATCCGTGAGGATTAGGGTATAAAGGAAAACAAAAGCAAAGCAAAAAGGGTTGAGAGCTGGGCTTCTCAAGAAGCAGACTAAATCCATGTGATGGCAGCAATGTCCTGAAATCCCATGCTCTCATTGTAGATTGTTCTCAGCTCAGGCGGGTCTTGCTGGTCACATTCTTCCCCATCACCATGGGCTTGGATTCCTGTGTGTCTTCAAAAGTTGACCTAAAAAATGTGGTCAGCATCGTGCCAGCCATCTTTACTGACCAGGACTTTACCAGTGACCCATTTAAGGCTGGGTCAATGTGGAAGCCAAGGTCATTTTTGAAAAATGGCCATGTGTACATGGGGATTATTACCCGAGACAACAGATCATGCCTTCCGAGACCGTTCCAAATACAACATACCAAGGCGAAACTTTTGGCCAGGAAAAACACCAGTGCAAGCCAAACTTTACGGGTCGCTGAGTGAGCTACAACAGACAGTGAAGTTCCTACTTGAGACAAGGTTGCAGATAAAGATAATCTGTTTCAAGCGAATGAAAGAAGAAGGTTTTCCCCCCCAAAAAAGCTGGCTCTGTCAAGGCTGGAACCCATGACTTTCTAATTTGCAATTGAGCATCTAGCCATAACACCACAGCACATTCCATGCCTCCCCATTGTTACATAGTATGACACGATCGTCTGGAAAGACAGAAAGGCACCAGCAGACAACAATATACTACACAACAGCAGGTCTATTGCTTCAAAAATATGTTTAAGTGGGTGATTTATTAATATCCTACCCCAGATGATGTCACAGGACAGTCCAACATTTTAGAGGGTGGTAAGACTGGGTTTCCTGGCTTTCTGATGCTCACACCGACCTAGTACTAACATCTAGAACTAACCCTAACCCCCAACCCACCTACGTCCCACGTGAGAGTGCAGCCTAGGTCCTACGACTGCATGTAGCCTAGGTCCCACGACTGCATGCAGCCTATCACCCCCTGAAATATTAGACTGTCCCGCAACCTGTCGATTCCCCCTGTTTAGGGAAGGATATTATTAAATCACCTTTGACTGTAGCCATGGGATACCAGAATGAATGACGTGCCGACTCCTTTCCTCCACAGTGAGATCACAGGATGAGAAGATAGTTCCCTGTGACATGCTGCTGCTGAGAGGACCTTGTATAGTGGATGAGTCTATGTTGACTGGAGAGTCAGTTCCTGTCATGAAGGTAATACCTCATCACATTATTGTAGTTTATTTTTAGTCTACACTATCACCACTGTCTCCACCTCTACCATCACCACTGTCTCCACACCTCCCATCAAAACTGTCTCCACCTCTCCCTTCACCACTGTCTCCTACCTCTCCCATCACCACTGTCTCCACATCTCCCATCACCACTGTCTCCACATCTACCATCACCACTGTCTCCACCTCTCCCATCACCACTGTCTCCACCTCTACCATCACCACTGTCTCCACATCTCCCATCACCATTGTCTCAACCTCTCTCATCACCACTGTCTCAACCTCTCTCATCACCACTGTCTCCACCTCTCCCATCACCACTGTCTCCACATCTCCCATCACCACTGTCTCCACATCTCCCATCACCACTGTCTCCACATCTACCATCACCACTGTCTCCACCTCTCCCTTCACCACTGTCTCCCACCTCTCCCATCACCACTGTCTCCACATCTCCCATCACCACTGTCTCCACATCTACCATCACCACTGTCTCCACATCTTCCATCACCACTGTCTCCACATCTCCCATCACCACTGTCTCCACATCTCCCATCACCACTGTCTCCACATCTACCATCACCACTGTCTCCACATCTCCCATCACCACTGTCTCCACATCTCCCATCACCACTGTCTCCACATCTTCCATCACCACTGTCTCCACATCTTCCATCACCACTGTCTCCACATCTACCATCACCACTGTCTCCACATCTCCCATCACCACTGTCTCCACATCTCCCATCACCACTGTCTCCACATCTCCCATCACCACTGTCTCCACATCTCCCATCACCACTGTCTCCACATCTTCCATCACCACTGTCTCCACATCTTCCATCACCACTGTCTCCACATCTACCATCACCACTGTCTCCACATCTACCATCACCACTGTCTCCACATCTACCATCACCACTGTCTCCACATCTTCCATCACCACTGTCTCCACATCTACCATCACCACTGTCTCCACATCTACCATCACCACTGTCTCCACATCTACCATCACCACTGTCTCCACATCTACCATCACCACTGTCTCCACATCTACCATCACCACTGTCTCCACATCTTCCATCACCACTGTCTCCACATCTAACATCACCACTGTCTCCACATCTTCCATCACCACTGTCTCCACATCTCCCATCACCACTGTCTCCACATCTCCCATCACCACTGTCTCCACATCTCCCATCACCACTGTCTCCACATCTACCATCACCACTGTCTCCACATCTACCATCACCACTGTCTCCACATCTACCATCACCACTGTCTCCACATCTCCCATCACCACTGTCTCCACATCTACCATCACCACTGTCTCCCCATCTACCATCACCACTGTCTCCACATCTCCCATCACCACTGTCTCCACATCTCCCATCACCAGTCTCCACATCTGCCATCACCACTGTCTCCACATCTCCCATCACCACTGTCTCCACATCTTCTATCACCACTGTCTCCACATCTTCTATCACCACTGTCTCCACATCTTCTATCACCACTGTCTCATCTTCTATCACCACTGTCTCCACATCTTCTATCACCACTGTCTCAACATCTCCCATCATCACTGTCTTTACCTCTCCCATCATCACAGTCTCCACATCTCCCATCACCACTGTCTCCACATCTCCCATCATCACTGTCTCCACATCTACCATCACCACTGTCTCCACATCTCCCATCACCACTGTCTCCACATCTCCCATCACCACTGTCTCCACATCTGCCATCACCACTGTCTCCACATCTCACATCACCACTGTCTCCACATCTCACATCACCACTGTCTCCACCTCTATAATCACCACTGTCTCCACCTCTACCATCACCACTGTCTCCACCTCTATCATCACCACTGTCTCCACCTCTACCATCACCACTGTCTCCACATCTCCCATCACCACTGTCTCCACATCTCCCATCACCACTGTCTCCACATTTCCCATCAGGTCTCTCTTATAAATTTAGCAGTCTGTTTTTGGTCACAATTAGTAACTAGTAACAATTGTTCTCACATTTGGAATATAGAAGATCAATCAAAGGGGGTGTGCTTTTATATAGTGGGGGAGTCTACGGTGAAGGAGAGTTGTTCCTGTTGCGAAGATAAGATCTATTAACATTTCTTTGATTTTTGTCTAGTGCATGAAATTGATCTTCTCACTTTTTTAATCACACAAACATGTTTTGTCTGCCTTGCAAATTAGCGTTGCCAGCACATTGCCAGGTACTGTTTTATTTTCTTGTCTTTTTTCTCCAAATTAGGAACCAGTGGAAAATTTAGAGCCGAGTCATTTTCTGGACTTGGAGCAAGATGGCAAGCTGCACATTTTGTTTGGTGGGACTAAAGTTGTTCAGCACACACCTCCGAGTAAATCTGGCCCTGGGTTAAAAGGTAAACCTGTATTTTGAAACCCTGCAGTTTGGTTGTATGACTGTGTAGGCCAGTTTGGATATTTGAATATGTGACCGATAATATTGTCATCTTTGTTGTCTTATAACTTTTAATACTATTTGTTGTCAAAATATTTTCTAATTTCTTTACCTTTGTGTGTGTGTGTGTGTGGGATTAATCCATGTAATGTTTATCACTAAGTACAAGCTAAGGACTATCTTATACCCGTTGTCTGGAATTTACAGCCAAATGTACCACTGGCACTATGTAAATACATAGTCCACTTATGCCCAAGTTCTGTTGCCGCTATGAGGTCATCATAAGTTGAACTGGTCTTGAGTTGAATTGATATTTTTCAACACTGTTTTTATCCAGACAGGTTATAAACATTGTACTTTAATCAAGAAATGTATCTATTCATGTATAATTAGACCCTGCTGCGATCTAGGCATCATTTGCGGGAACTTTTTGACCCTTCCAGTGAAGTTCATCATCGTCATCATTAATTTCCACCTCTGCCATTAAGAGACATGGGGAGGAACAGTTTGCGATCCATTGTTCGATGGGCAGCAGTGGCTACTGTCATTCTCTGTCTATGTAGATGCCATTTAATGTCATCAGTCCATATTTTCCTAGGGCGGCCTCTTGCTTTCACTTCAAATCTTGTCATGTGTAGCGACTGCGTTGGTAGTTGTTCTGGCTGATTTCTCAATGGGTGACTAAACCATTTAATCTTCTGTTTCTTAATGAATTTGCCGCATGGTGTTCCTACAGTCTGTCTGATATCATTTCTAACTTTATCTCGGATGGTTAAGTTGGCGGCTTTTCTCAGGCATCTCATTTCACAGGTGTCAATTTTACTTAGGTTGACCTTTGATAATGTCCAAGTGTGGCACTGGTAGCACAGTATTGGTATGAAAATGCTGTTTATAATCTGTTTCTTGGCGCTCATACTTATGTTTGGATGTCTTAATAACGATGTCAGTTGGTTTATAAGTGCACTGGCTCATCAGCATCTTGTTTTTATTTCCTGATCTGTTTCGATTTCCAACTGCCGAGGGATTTTTTACATGCGCAACTATACACACGGGCATCCGATCTCACTACCCAGAGACCCGGGGAAATTACTAGAAGTCCCCGTGGTCAGAAACAATTCCAGCCTTCACCGGGGCGTGAACCCAGGACCTCTAACACTCAAGGCGGACACCATACCTCAAGACCACACAACCCCCTCCCTCCCACCTCCGTAGGACAGAAGAAGAAGAAGGTACTGTGTTTCTTTAGCCCTTTGGTATTATGAAAAAAAGACAAGAACTGTTTATCCAACTTCCATTAATACAAATTTATTGTGTTAGGAGTTCTTCATTTTATAAAATATCTTGACCGATTTACCTTATTTCTGCAGCTAGTGATAATGGTTGTATAGCCTACGTCCTGCGGAACGGCTTCAATACATCTCAAGGAAAACTACTGCGGACAATTTTGTTTGGGGTCAAGCGGGTAACGGCAAATAATTTGGAGACGTTTTTCTTCATCATGTTTCTCCTGGTGTTTGCAATCATTGCTGCTGCATATGTCTGGATTAAAGGTACACTTTCGTTTTTTTATTGTCATTGAGTTGGTTTTGGGGACCTACAGTTGGGGAAAGGGAGGGGGGCATAGTGGCTTAACGCTCGGCTGTGGATCGAAAGTCATGGGTTCAAATCCAAACAGAGCTGGAATTGTAAAAAAATGACTATGGCTACCAGGTTGACCCAGCCTTACAAGGGTCCCAGGTGAAGTTCTGGGAAGTAAAGGTGGCTGGTGTTATGTTGACTTCATCACCCACTGAGTGCCAATTGGTCGGTAACCTATGACTATGGGTCCAGCACTATTTGCCCAAAAAGCCTAAAGGCGTGAAAAAAGGCCCTTATCCTAGAAAGAAAGGCTAACTGAAAACTTAATGTTATGGCATGGCAGACCAGGTCCTTAGCCTTGGCTGGCAGCTGGTCTAGGAGGGAAGCTTCAGCATGGGACACACAGACGGAGCACTGCTCTTTTGATACATCAGTTTCTGGAGCATGCTTTATTCCTAATGTTTTGGGGTTACCTGTCCTTGTGAGTTAACAAAGCAGCCTTAGAGAAGGATCATATTGGATGGGCAACACGCTGTCTCTACAATTGCTTTATGCTTGAGAGAGGAAACTTCACCTCTGACTTAAACCTTGTTACCCTGGTAACGCTGCCACAGAATGATCATGACCCCTTGGGAATTCCCGGAAAAACAAAATCCTTTCAAAAAGATAAATTTTACACAGGTTAAGTTTGTTAAATTTATTTATCAATAGTTCACAGTTGTTGAAGTATAGAAACATTTATGAAAGACATGTGGTAAAAAGACAAGAACTACTGGCACCCCGCAAAAAAATATTTCCACTAATAAAATAATGGCCAGACAATATACCACAATTATAATCAGAGCTTCTTAAGAAGCAGTTGAACATGGTTTTTTCCTCCCCACCATTTAGTGGAATTGAAGAACAAGAAAATAAAATAGAAGAAAAAAAAGAACGAGCAAACAAACTTCATTTCCTGAGGATCACAAATTGGTCATCAGGTTCACCTTACATTCAGCAATTTCAAACACTCACATTTCTGGGAAGGCTAACCCGGTCAACAAATGCCCGCAGAAGTCAGATGTGTTGGCGGAAAGGTGCAAATATCGCAGCCATGCTGTAAACGGACACAACGCAATTACATCTTTGAATGAACGCAGAAGAAACACTCACATTTCATATGGCAATTGTACTTTATATATATATATGTGTGTGTGTGTGTGTGTGTGTGTGTGTGTGTGTGTGTGTGTAAATATATATATATATACATATCGAGCATTTTATGTTAATATATCAAAATAGTCATAGTATGAAATGCAGATTGAAAATACAAAATCATGGATGACAATTAAAAGAAGAAAAGGAAAGGTGCTTGTCTTACAACTTGATAAGTATTTGTGATGCCTATCAACAGGCACTGAGGACCCAGGCAGAAACCGCTACAAGTTGTTCCTAGAGTGTACCCTGATCCTGACGTCGGTTGTGCCACCAGAGTTGCCAATAGAACTGTCACTGGCTGTCAACACTTCTCTGTTGGCTCTGACTAAGTTGTGTAAGTCTGTGGTCTGATTATTGTATAGCTCTGTCAGTGTTGTGTAAGTCTGTGGTCTGATTATTGTATAGTTCTGTCAGTGTTGTGTAAGTCTGTGGTCTGATTATTGTATAGCTCTGTCAGTGTTGTGTAAGTCTGTGGTCTGATTATTGTATAGTTCTGTCAGTGTTGTGTAAGTCTGTGGTCTGATTATTGTATAGCTCTGTCAGTGTTGTGTAAGTCTGTGGTCTCATTATTGTAAAGTTCTGTCAGTGTTGTGTAAGTCTGTGGTCTGATTATTGTATAGCTCTGTCAGTGTTGTGTAAGCCTGTGGTCTGATTATTGTATAGTTCTGTCAGTGTTGTGTAGGTCTGTGGTCTGATTATTCTATAGCTCTGTCAGTGTTGTGTAAGTCTGTGGTCTGATTATTGTATAGCTCTGTCAGTGTTGTGTAAGTCTGTGGTCTGATTATTGTATAGCTCTGTCAGTGTTGTGTAAGTCTGTGGTCTGATTATTGTATAGCTCTGTCAGTGTTGTGTAAGTCTGTGGTCTCATTATTGTATAGCTCTGCCAGTGTTGTGTAAGTCTGTGGTCTGATTATTGTATACCTCTGCCAGTGTTGTGTAAGTCTGTGGTCTGATTATTGTATAGCTCTGCCAGTGTTGTGTAAGTCTGTGGTCTGATTATTTTATAGCTCTGCCAGTGTTGTGTAAGTCTGTGGTCTGATTATTGTATAGTTCTATGAATACTGAATGTAGTTCTGTGTATGCTGTGTAAGTCTATAGTCTGGGACATTCCCAAAATCTCTCGATCTCTGTCTTCTGCAGCCAGTGCACACAGTTGCAGTTCTAATGGTACCTGTAGCAGTATTATTGCATGTCTGTCTTTCTTTAACTTTGCGTATAGATTGTCGGCCAGACCTACTGATCACTGACTGCTGCATCTGTCTGTCCACACAACCACACCATAATGATCTTTTTGCTTCAGCATTGTTCATCTTCTCCTAAGGGCCTTGATCACCTGTAGCTTATTGTGCATCGAATCACTACCTGGTGATGTAGAGACAGCCGATCCATCTGTCTGTATCCCAACATACCCGCATAACTTGGAGATGTAATCTGATTATTGCATGGCTCTGATAGAGTTGTAAGAATGTAGTCAGATCATTGTACATTGTTTGCTCTATCATCTGTGTCTCGCTGTTCTCCGTATGTTATTGATTGTTCTGATTTTAAGAAATGAACTTCTTTCTTGACTGGTTTGATTTTGCAACTTAACAGTTTGTCCACTTATATTATGAAGGTTATTGTTGTCCTTTGCTTCCCTCATGTGGCTTCTAAAGCAAAGTTGAACCATTAATGTATACTGCTAGAATTTATGTTTCAATAGACCATGTTCGTTCCTTCCTTCCTTCCTTGGTGTTTCCCTGCTGTAAACTCTGATGGAAAGTTCTGGTTGTTCGTCCATGTCTGAACTTTGGTGTAATTCCAGAACTTGAGTTTTGCATGCACAGTGCACATCCATTTTACAGATCTGATTTTTGTGTAAATTGGGCCCCATTTTGGGAGAAAAGAGAATAGACCCACTGCCCCCTAACAAGCATGTCATCAAAGGCACCTAATTAGAGGTGTTTTCTCTGAAGTTGCAGTGTATCTGCCTAAGAGGTGAGGAACCAACAGTCTGCATATAGATAAGCCAGATATGTAAAATGGATGTGCACACAAAACCGGGGTTCTGGAAACCTTCCTTGTGAACCACAGCCAGTGAATAATGTGTTCTGTTACATTTTAGAGTATGTTAAAGAAATCTGGCTAATCAAGATCTTGTTCACTTTGTTCAGATCCTGTTTAGGTTTTCCGCTTGGGCATTTACTGTGAAATCTGGTACTGAAAGAGTTGAGATATTCAGATCCTTTAATGCCAGGTTTTTTACAAATAAAATACAGTTTCTGACTGTTTGTTGTGCTGTTTTCTTCCCACTGCGATCTATATACTCTACATTATTCACTCGAAATGATTTCTTTTTGAAGCATTTTCTTCCAGACTGTATATAGATTAGACATCATGATTAAACTATTCTCCATTCAATTTCTTCTTCTTTTTTGTTTTCACCAGCTGTAAACTCAGGCGGACAAAGTATGGGTGTCCATCCGTGTCTGGACTCTAGACTTTTCCAGAACCTGAATGTTGCCTGCACATCCATTTCACACATTTGGCTTTTTTGTATACAGACTTTTGGTTCCTAGCCTCTCAGGCAGATACTCTCAGACTTCAAAGGATGCCCCCCCCCCCCCCCCCTCCGTTAATCGACTCCTAGGACATGCTTGTTGAGGAGGCAGCGGGTGTGTTTTTGTTTTTCCCAAATGGGGCCCTGGAACCCACATGGGGACCCCATACAACAACCATGATGATGTTTTGTGTTGTTGAATGTAGTACTTTGATGCAGTCCTTTGCTGGTCATTATATTTTTTTGTTTCTGCCAATCAGATGTGTACTGCACAGAGCCGTTCAGAATCCCATTCGCTGGCAAAATTGACATCTGCTGCTTTGACAAAACTGGGACTCTGACGAGTGATGATCTGGTGGTCGAAGGGGTTGTGGCGCTGAGGTAAAGGAGATATTTTATGTGATTCACCACAAGTTTATGCAGTCTGTAGTGATTTATTTCATGTGATTCACCACAAGTTTATGCAGTCTGTAGTGATTTATTTCATGTGATCCACCACAAGTTTATGCAGTCTGTAGTGGTTTATTTCATGTGATCCACCACAAGTTTATGCAGTCTGTAGTGATTTATTTTATGTGATTCACCACAAGTTTATGCAGTCTGTAGTGATTTATTTTATGTGATTCACTGTGGTTGATTTAATATAATTCTATGTAAAGTAAGTTTCCTGTGATTCACTGAATTCTCTGTAAAGTATATTTGTTATTTGTTATAATGATGTATTCCCTTTTTTTCATTGTTAATCGAGAAACATTCTTTGCGTTGTGTCTGTTTGCAGCATAGCTGTGATATTTGCGCCTTTCGACTGAGACATCCAACTTCTTTGTTCATTTGTTCACCAGGTTAGCCTTACCCGGTTAGTTTCTTGGGACATAACATGGTCTTAGTTGTCCTCTTTATCTATTGTTACCCCTAGAAAACCCATCCAGGGCAGCCACACGCAGACTGGTTGGGCCCTCGAGGAAAGGCAGGTTCAGAACTTGGGCATTCCCTGCCGTCCAAAGGAGGCTTCCATAAAGGCAGAGCTGACACATGATGCCATGATCCTGGGCTCACCCAAGGAATGATCACATCCTGCACATGATTGCTTAACCTCACATTCAAATGTTGGGCTTCCCCGTCATCACATGCCATGGGTTGCAATATTTAGAAATCAACTGGAAGCATCCCACAGTTTCAAGACTTTGATGACTACACAGATGGACAAAATCGTCCTCGGTATGGTCGACACCTTTTACATAGTTGCATCAAGACACTACAGTAGAGAAATTGCACACATCAGGCATGGCTTTCCCCCCTTTTTGTCAAACAGTAGGACATTTGGTGGTTGGACTTTTGACCTGTGTCTGTCACACAGTAGGGCATTTGATGATTAGACATCTGAAACTTTGTTGTTAGCAACCTGAAATCTGAGCTAATTTAGTAGAACTGTTGCATACAGATGTTTGAACCAAGGTTAGTCATACAGTAGGGTATTCGACCAGCAGGCTTCACTCATATTCCAGTGAGTGTGTGATGGACTTTTTAACCTGTTGATACGTGCGGACCTTCATTGTGACGTGCTGAGGCGCTTCAAGCTGATGTGTGTGGTACCAAGATGAAATAGGCCAAGTAGGGGTAAAACAGTAGTTACTTCAATGCTTTCAAAATGTAGAGCTCGAACGCTATGCGTTAAGTTCCAATGGTTGTATTGATATATACAATCAGCAATGATCAACACAAGAATACGTATGCAATCAATAATCAACTCGTTCAACCAAAGCTCACTCGTACATCCATGGACGGTTATGTCCTTACGATAGGTCGCAGTCCGACCTTGAGATCATGACAATCATCTTGGTCCTCGGACAAGTCCGAATTAAGCAATGAAAGTATACCGGCTTGCTGCCGAGAATGTAGTGCTCACCAGCTTCCTGCTGAGGTCTTGGAGTCCCGGGGTAAAACGTCCTCAAGGATCCAACTTTAATAACGTTTGCTTCCGTGGGATCCCGGGGTAAAGCGTCCTCAAGGATTCCCACGTCCGTCTCCTTCGGACTATAAACATCAACTGCTTTGACAACAATAAATCATAACAACGTTACGTATTGTTTTGACGTCTTATTTGCTCACTCCGTACTGGTGCGTTCTGGTGCACATTCGCACGCGACACCTGTGCATTGGAGGCAGGCTTCTTGGTCCAGGGTATTCTGATAATTTTTAAGTAGCATTCCAGTTCAGATACATCTAGTGACTCATAAACTCATTGCTTGTCATTCTCAGTGAATCAGCACTCTTCAAGACACTTACCTACTTCTGGCTGATGGTTTTGGACGCAGGCTAAATTACAGCAGTCTCACAAACAGAGAGTAGCAAGCGAAATCAGTAGGCAAACCCAGTCCCATATGATGGCACTATTCAAATGTACAAATATGGCAGTTTTGTAAACATGGCATCATGACACGTAGGCATGTGCACAGAGAAAATATGGCTGCTGTGTAAATACGGCAGCTTTTAAATGTGACATCATTGTAAATGTATTGTCTTTGAAAATATGGCAGCTCTGACGAAAACGCAGTGTGATATAATGAGGCTGGACAGTTGGAGATGTCATTCAGATGTAGCAATATAGCAGCGTTTCTGTAAACTTACTTATTAGAATCAACAGCCACTTCATCATGAACAAGAAGGAAGGAGAACTTTTAACCCGTGAAATTGTCATTTTGTTTGTGGATATTTAAATATCCATTATGTTCTGAGAGTTAACATCATAGAAACTACAATAGCACAATGTGTCTGTGGTCGAGGTGGCTAGAAGAGCAAGAAGCAGAACATTATATCTTTTTCAGCACTCAGAGAGGAAGGGAAGAAGAATGTTTTGTATCATATATTTCACATTTTGACACTACAATGACATCTGTGTGTCCTCAGTGGATCAGACATAATCCCTGCCCATGAAGCACCTCTAGAAACAACCCAGGTGCTAGCCACCTGCCATGCATTGGTGCACCTGGATGAAGAGCTGGTGGGAGATCCACTTGAGAAAGCCACCCTGAAAGCTATAGAGTGGAGTTTAACTAAAGGTGGGTTTTTTTCTGCTTTTGTTGTCTGGGTAAAGATTCGACATCACAGCACTCAGGACAAGACCATATTAGCTCCATCTCACTCCTCAGCAGCCAACGAAGAGTCTCCATACTGATGGTACCTGTTGTCATCTGGTTAACTACTTGTCTTGCCTTTCCCCCAAGCCTCAAGTGATGCACACATACACTAACAGCTACATTATTTTCTCCAGATACGTGTTTTTAGTACCGTTTGCACAAGTGAGAGATCACCTCTGCCTTGTACTGTTGCAGTGCACTTCTTTGTGGGGCCAGATCGGCCAGCCTGTCTGCTTGCTCATTCTCAAACACTCCTACATTGCCCGGGGAAAATATCCACGCGACTCACCATCTGTGATCTCTGGATTGAGACAACCCCTTCCATATGAAGAAGCTCTAATGTCACATTCCAGAGCATGATTTGTCTGATACTATAACAACATCTGTGCTGAGATTTTCTCCATCCATCAGAATTCTGCACTTACCACCTCAACCTCCATTCTCATCCAGGATTTGGTAATTTCCCATGCCAAGCTCTCCTCTGTCATCCTTCTGCCCCATGTCTTTGCACTGAAGCCCTATCCACTCTTTCTGCTCCCCACTCCTCTTACCCATGCCACTGGCCATTTAGTGTCGTGCTGTCCTTTTATTAAAGCTTGTGGGGAGCTGTGGTGGTGCAGGGAATAGCATACTTATCTGTGTGACAGGAGATCATGCGTTGAATCCTCTTTGAGGCAGGTATTTAAAACAATAATTGATTTAGCCTTGAAGGTCAATTCAGCTGGAAATGGACCCTAAGAAATGTTCTTTGAAGCAATGGAGAAAAGTCTGTACACCGTCCTTACTTCAGTGATGTAATTCTTTGAGATGGGGGGGGGTCAGATCGTCTCAATATAAATGCATTATGCAATGAATAAAGTGATAGTTTTCCAGAACCAACCAGGCATCCAGCCAAACATTCAACTAACTAACTAATCATCCAACAAACCAGTCAGCCATTCAACCATCCGTCTGCAAATTAACCATTTATCAAACCAACCAGTGATGACTAAACCAACTGACCCACTATCTTATCAACCTTCCAACCAAGCTGCAAACCAACTGGGCAACTAGCCAACCAAACGTACAATCAACCAGCCATCTATCCATCCTACCAGCCATGCAGCCAACCATCGACTTAATTAAACATCAAATTAATCAAATTAACCACTGATTATTTAAACAACCAACCCACTATCCATCTAAACAACCAACCCAGTGTCCATCTAAACAACCAACCTACTGTCCATCTAAACAACCAACCCAGTGTCCATCTAAACAACCAACCCACTGTCCATCTAAACAACCAAGCCACTGTCCATCTAAACAACCAACCCACTGTCCATCTAAACAACCAACCCACTGTCTAATCAACCATCCAACCATGCAACTAACCAACCATCCATCCAGTCCACCCCATCTTTCAGCCAACTAACGCTCCCAACCCTAGGTTAGACCCCTACTGAAATAGTTAGGCTGGAGACAATGCTAAAATCATTGTGTCCTTTCATTAGGCATATTGAACATTATTACACAAATATCTTAACTGTTGAAACAAGTAACTAAACCTGATGGTTTTGTGCCTTCTCACACGCAGGAGAGACGGTTGTTCCACAAAAGAAAAAGACTCATGGTTTGAAGATTTATCACCGGTTCCACTTCCAGAGCTCTCTGAAGAGAATGTCAGTCATATTTGGTCACACGGCGCCTGGTAGCACAGACATTCAGTACAGTGCTGCCGTCAAAGGAGCTCCGGAGACTCTCAAGTCCATGGTGAGAAATAAGTTTATTGGTCATCAGTAATTGAAACAAAGTCAGTGTGCACACACAAGAAAAGCAGCTGATAAATGACTCTCAAGTCCATGGTGAGAAATTATTGGTCATCAGTAATTGAAACAAAGTCAGTGTGCACACACAAGAAAAGCAGCTGATAAATGACTCTGAAGTCTATGGTGAGAAATTATTGGTCATCAGTAATTGAAACAAAGTCAGTGTGCACACACAAGAAAAGCAGCTGATAAATGACTCTGAAGTCTATGGTGAGAAATTATTGGTCATCAGTAATTGAAACAAAGTCAGCGTGCACACACAAGAAAAGCAGCTGATAAATGTGCTATTTATACCAACTTTGTGCTGTCAGTGTCAGGCATGGACTGTCATAGAAAACATAAACATGACATTACAACATGTGAGAGGAGATCTATCAGCAATGTGGCGGGAAAAACCAGAAGAGATAGAGTCATCAATGAAGTACTAAGAACAAAAGTAAGCACAGTACCCGTGAAGGATTTCATAGGATATCAAAGGATCAAAAGGTTTGGTCATCTGGTCAGAATGGAACAAAATCAGCCAGCAGCTAGAGCATACTGCATGAGTACAGCAGGCTACAAGGCAAGAGGCCGACCAAGAAAGAGATGGGTGGAGGGAGTAAAAGAGACACTACAGAGATGCAGTATGACATTAACGCAGGTTAGGCAAGTTAGGCAACTAGCAAACGCCAGGAAACTACATTGAACATCTCGACACTTTATGGCATAAGCAGTAGTACAAAAGAAGTGAGTGAGTAAAGGTCTCTTTTCCCCGCCTTTAGGCGTTTTTGGGAATATACGGCTAGACCTAAATTTTTACAGACCAATCGGCACTTTGTGGGTGATGTGGTAAGCATCATGCCGGCCTCCTTTACCTCCTAGGACTGCAGCTGGTACCCACTCAAGGCTGGGTCGACCTGGGAGTCATAGTCATTTTTGAAAAAAGGTAGACTCCGTCAGGATGCGAACACAGGATCTTGCAATCCACATGCGGGCGTCTAGCCGCCGACAAAAGAAGAAGAAAGTTTAAAAAAAAAACTCATGGTGTTTACAGTGAATATGTTTAGTTTTTTTTTTTTTTTGGCACTGCAAACAGTCCACTTACACAGAATATGTCTAGAGCTACTTGTAAAATGTCCAAATCCGCTGTATATTAATGGAACTGTTTGTAAAACGTCCATTTACACTGAAAAGTAATTCTCAGTAATAAATCACTGTAATGTGTTTCCACAGTACCAGAGCCTGCCTGCGGACTATGATGAAGTCTATCTGAAGATGGCTAGAAGGGGCGCAAGAGTGTTAGCTCTGGGTTACAAGAGGCTGGGAACAATGTCTCATCAACAGGTGTGTTTTATATTGCTGATTGTTAGTGATGAGGGGTTTGTGTACACCACAGACTACACCATACATCATGTGTACACTACAGACTACACCTTACATGATGCGTACGCAACAGACTACACCTTGCATCATGTGTACACAACAGACTATACCTTGCATCATGTATACACTACAGACTTCAGCTTGCATCATGTGTACACTGCAGACCAAACCTAGCATCATGTGTACACTACAGACTACACCTTACATGATGCGTACGCAACAGACTACACCTTGCATCATGTGTACACTACAGATTATACCTTGCATCATGTGTACACTACAGACTTCACCTTGCATCATGTGTACACGACAAACTATACCTTGCGTCATGTGTACACCCCAGACTATACCTTGCATCATGTGTACACCACAGACTATACCTTGCATCATGTGTACACTACAGACTATACCTGGCATCATGTGTACACTACAGATGACACCTTGCATCATGTGTACACACTAGACTATACCTTGCATCATGTGTACACTACAGACTATACCTTGCATCATGTGTACACTACAGATGACACCTTGCATCATGTGTACACTACAAACTATGCTTTACATGATGTGTGCACTACAAACTATGTCTTACATGATGTGTGCACTACAAACTATGTCTTACATTATGTGTGCACTACTAACTATGCCTTACATAATATGTGCACTACAAACTATGCCTTACATTATGTGTGCCATACAAACTATGCCTTACATGATGCATGCACTAAATGCAAACTTTACCTTACATGATAAGGATCTTTTACTTTTTTTTTTTAATTTTTAATTTTTTTTAAATATTTGTTAAAACAAATGTTTCACTAAAATGTGAGTGTCAGCAGAATAAAGAAAACAACTGACCAACATTTGGAAACATCTGGCTATCCCAGTAGAGATAAAAAGACAAATTATCAAAGCAATCTTCATACCAAACTTGTGCGGTTACTGTCAGACTTTGACATTACTAAAGAACACAAAAGAAAACTGACCACCTGCGAAATTAGAATTTTGAAAAAAGCCATGAACCCAACTAATAGAGGTCATTTTAAAAACGAACAAATTGCAATAACTATTGTAACAAGACCTATAATTTAATTAATTATAAAGCAAAGACTTTTAATGAGAATAATTTGAATGATGTTAGCAGCGATAGCGTGCAACATGAAAGTAGAAACACCAAGAGGTAGGGGAGGACCAAGAAGAAGATGGACTGAAGGAGTCACTGATGCATCGCAGCATACCGGGCAGGCGAGTGTGCCCTAGCTTAGAAACTGATCATCTGTTTACCTAGTGGCACAAAGCACAAAATGGACACAATAAAGAAAGCATTTACTGTTCAGTAAATGAATTAAAATCAGTGTATCTTTCAGGGGCTGATTGAAGTTTTGCTTGTTTCTGTTGTACAGTTGAGGGACATGACCCGGGAACAGGTGGAGAGAGATCTGGTGTTTGCTGGCTTTGTGATTATCTCATGCCCTCTCAAGTCGGACTCCAAAGCTGCTATTAAAGAGATTATCAATGCATCTCACCATGTAAGTCTTGCTTTTGTTTGCCCTTGTCGTAGCCTTATTACATTTTTCATAACCGTGTACCTTCTTCTGCATGTCTTCCTATTATTATATACTTGTTGGTTTAGTATTAACTATGGAGGTCACCATATAAATCTTCATGTTTTATTGCATGCTTTCCTTTATCTTTTCCTGTAGCAGCTAGTAAATCTAACCATATCATTGCATGCTTTCCTGCATCAGTGTGTAATTCTTTCCATATCACTACATCTTTTCCTGTAGCAGCTAGTAAATCTAACCATATCATTGCATGCTTTCCTGCATCAGTGTGTAATTCTTTCCATATCACTACATCTTTTCCTGTAGCAGCTAGTAAATCTAACCATATCATTGCATGCTTTCCTTCATCACTGAGTACTTTACATATCACTGCATCTTTTCCTGTAGCAGCTAGTAAATCTAACCATATCATTGCATGCTTTCCTTCATCACTGAGTACTTTACATATCACTACATCTTTTCCTGTAGCAGCTAGTAAATCTAACCATATCATTGCATGCTTTCCTTCATCACTGAGTACTTTACATATCACTGCATCTTTTCCTGTAGAAGCTAGTAAATCTAACCATATCATTGCATGCTTTCCTTCATCACTGAGTACTTTACATATCACTGCATCTTTTCCTGTAGCAGCTAGTAAATCTAACCATATCATTGCATGCTTTCCTTCATCACTGAGTACTTTACATATCACTGCATCTTTTCCTGTAGAAGCTAGTAAATCTAACCATATCATTGCATGCTTTCCCCCATCAGTGTGTAATTCTTTTCATGTCACTGCATCTTTTCCTGTAGCAGCTAGTAAATCTAACCATATCATTGCATGCTTTCCTTCATCAATGTGTAATTCTTCCCATGTCACTGCATCTTTTCCTGTAGCAGCTAGTAAATCTAACCATATCATTGCATGCTTTCCTTCATCAATGTGTAATTCTTCCCATGTCACTGCATCTTTTCCTGTAGAAGCTAGTAAATCTAACCATATCATTGCATGGTTTACTTCATCAATGTGCAATTCTTCCCATGTCACTGCATCTTTTCCTGTAGCAGCTAGTAAATCTAACCATATCATTGCATGCTTTCCTTCATCAATGTGCAATTCTTCCCATATTACAGCACATTTTACTTTAGCGGCAAGTAAATCTGACCATTATATCTTTTGCAGTCATGAAGCGACCTTGGCCTTTATCGGAAAGTACATCAAACACCTTGGACTGCACTGATTCATACATTGTCCTATTTTGCCATTAAATATCACATAGCGCCAGCAGTCTATTCCTCCATTGTTCTATCCGATTCAGTCACTTCGATATCAGGGTTGGAATCCAGTCTAGCTCTTTTTGGCTTCTGTCATATACATTTGCCTCTCTGATTCTCTCTTCTCAGAATGTGTCTAGTAAAGTGCCAACTTCTCTGTCTTATCTTTAGACTGTATTAGATATTGGATTATGTTGGGTTTGCATCTTTCAGGTTGCTATGATCACCGGAGATAACCCCCTGACCGCTTGCCATGTGGCCAAGGAGCTCAAGATGACCAGGAAGGAGGCAACTGTCATCTTACAGCCTCGCAATGAGTTCTGTAAGTGTTTGTTTATTTACAGCGCAGCCTTGACTTCTGTGTTTGCCTATTTACAGCCTCGCCTTGACATCTGTGTTTGTTTATTTACAGCCTCACCTTGACTTCTGTGCTTGTTTATTTACAGCGCAGCCTTGACTTCTGTGCTTGTTTATTTACAGCGCAGCCTTGACTTCTGTGTTTGTTTATTTACAGCCCCGCCTTGACTTCTGTGTTTGCCTATTTACAGCTTCTCCTTGACTTCTGTGTTTGTTTATTTACAGCCTCACCTTGACTTGTGTGTTTGTTTATTTACAGCCTCACCTTGACTTGTGTGTTTGTTTATTTACAGCCTCACCTTGACTTCTGTGTTTGTTTATTTACAGCCTCACCTTGACTTCTGTGTTTGTTTATTTACAGTCTCACCTTGACTTCTGTGTTTGTTTATTTACAGCCTCACCTTGACTTCTGTGTTTGTTTATTTACAGCCTCACCTTGACTTCTGTGTTTGTTTATTTACAGCCTCACCTTGACTTGTGTGTTTGTTTATTTACAGCCTCACCTTGACTTCCGTGTTTGTTTATTGACAGCCTCACCTTGACTTCTGTGTTTGTTTATTTACAGCCTCACCTTGACTTCCGTGTTTGTTTATTCTGTTTTCATCATTTTGGCTTATATCCTACATATTATACGACAATGTTTATTGCAGAAAATGAATGGTTAGTGTAGACAGGAATGTACATTGGAGAAAATAGATGGTTAGTGCAGATGAACAGGAATGTATATTGGAGGAAATAGATGGTTAGTGCAAATGAACAGGAATGTATATTGGAAAAAATAGATGGTTAGTGCAGATGAACAGGAATGTATATTGTATGAAATAAATGGTTAGTGAAGATGAACAGGAATGTATATTGTATGAAATAAATGGTTAGTGAAGATGAACAGGAATGTACATTGTATGAAATAAATGGTTAGTGAAGATGAACAGGAATGTATATTGTATGAAATAAATGGTTAGTGAAGATGAACAGGAATGTATATTGTATGAAATAAATGGTTAGTGAAGATGAACAGGAATGTACATTGCAGGAAATAGATGGTTAATGCAGATGAACAGGAATGTATTTTTGGAGGAAATAGACAGATAGTGAAGATGAAGGGGAATATATCTTGGAAAAAAAAAGATGAGTGGGAATGTATCTTGGAGAAACATGTGATTAATAAAGATATTTAGGGATAATATCTTCAGAAAGATGTTTAATCAGGATGATTTGGATCTTGTAAGGGAAATTTATGGTTGATTATAACAAAAGAGAAAATAAGTGGCTTATAAAGGTGAATTATCTTAAGGAAAGTAGGTTGTTAATTGAAACCCGTATTTAAAAAAAAATGTTTTGGAACACAGGTTGTAAGTAAAAGGTGGATTGCGTTAACATTAATAATGCCCTTTGAGAAGTAGGACAATCCGAGTATTTGGGAGCAGCATATTCACATCACTGCTACGAATACGAGAATCAGGAGTGAAGATTAGCACAGCCAAGCATGAGAGACACACCAGGCGTACAAGATTTTATTAACCAGCATAGGACTGCCACTGTTCACTGCGGGACTCTGATGAATATGTTGAAGATGGAATCTAAGTTTCTGTGGATGTGTCCAGAGTGCTGTGAGGATAACCCAGCTCATAACTCAAAAATGAATGAGAATATATTGGCAGAAAATATGTGGATAATAAACATTAATGGATAAGATTATCAAGACTGGTTAAATAAAGCTATATATATTTTCTGGGGATGTATAGTTACGAAAGAGATAATTTTTGTTTAATGAAAATAGATAGTTAATTACCGTGTACAAGATTATCTTTGGGAATGTAGTTCTGAATTATACTGAACAAATATCTTTGGGGAAAGTGAATAATTCTTTATGGAGAAATAGATGGTTCATGGTTAATGCTACAGAACAATTCTTAGAAAACCATAAACCAAGAAGAAAAACATGACATCCTGCATGACCTGAACATCAAGGAGAATTGGCTCATAAACATCATCCTGTGGCAACAGCTGAGGTATTTTGGATATGTTAAGTGCCTTGGAGGTCTACAGAGAACAGTGATGGAGGGTGCCGTTTACGGGAAATGAGGCAGAGGCCAACCTCCGCGAATGTGGATAGGGGACACTGAAGATGCATCTGCTGTGAAGATGAAGATGCATCTGCTGTGAAGATGAAGATGCATCTGCTGTGAAGATGAAGATGCATCTGCTGTGAAGATGAAGATGCATCTGCTGTGAAGATGAAGATGCATCTGCTGTGGAGATGAAGATGCATCTGCTGTGAAGATGAAGATGCATCTGCTGTGAAGATGAAGATGCATCTGCTGTGAAGATGAAGATGCATCTGCTGGGAAGATGAAGATGCATCTGCTGTGAAGATGAAGATGCATCTGCTGTGAAGATGAAGATACATCTGCTGTGAAGATGAAGATGCATCTGCTGTGAAGATGAAGATGCATCTGCTGTGAAAGCACACAGGGCTGGAAAATTGGCAAGGGAAAGAGAGACTTTCAGGTGTGCTGTGAACAGAGTGACATTCTGTAAGGGATATGATAACAAATTGATTGGTTTGGTTAATTACAGTAAACAAGTCTGTCTTTGGGAATATAGATGCATTGTCTAATGTTGATATTGTTTTCTAGTGTTATCTTGTCTACTGTTGATATTGTTTTCTAGTGTTATCTTGTCTACTGTTGATATTGTTTTCTAGTGTTATCTTGTCTACTGTTGATATTGTTTTCTAGTGTTATCTTGTCTAGTGTTTGTAGAATTATCTTTTCTGTTTACAGTGTTATATTTTGTGTTTGTAGTGTCGTCTTCTGTAGTGTTTTTTATGTTAACTTGTCTGGTTTTTTAGGAGGTACCCATTTAATATTTAAAATTTTATGTTTCTATTTTTTGTAATGTTTAAAAAAAAAATCTCCATTATTTAAGCTGTTTATGCTATTATTTATCTAGGACCTCTTATGATATCTGCCAATTTACTAATGTTCTCTTGACATACTTAATGTTTTGATATATTCTCATTGTAAATAGATCCTTTTCCACCCCTTCTGAATGTTGGGCACATAGGGCTAGACCTATACTTTATAGACCAATCGGCACTCTGTGGGTAATTTGGTCAGCATTACCCCGGCTGCCTTTACTTCCCAGGACTTACGTTGGTACCCATTTAAGGCTGGGTCAACGTGGGAGACAAGGTGACTCCATTTGGATTTAAACCCATGACATTCTTACCCGCATGTGAGTCTAGCTGCTACACCACTTTGGCTCCCATCTGTGCTACTACCTTTCCTGTGTTTATACTCTTTCCTCATATGGTTTCCCAGGCCCCATTGTGGGGAAAACAAGAATAAACCTACTGCTCTCCCCTCCATAATAAACACACACACACACACAAAACATAAGAGTTGACTAATTTGGAACTTCCTTCAAAATCTAGCGGCAAGGAACAGCCAACGGCACACAGATAAGCCAGTAAAATAGATGTGTAGGCAGAAAGATGTACAAAGCCAAAGTCCACGTGGACGAACAACCAGGACTTTCCGATGGCGCTCACAGGGGGTGAACAAAGAAGAAGAAGTAGTTTATGTCCTTAGCATATATCTCTTTGCAACAAAAACTTAAATGTTTCTTACATACTGATGTCGATTTGTCTTATTTTTTCAGCGGAAGATTGGCATTGGCAGTCAATAGATGACACATTCATTATAAAGTTGAAGCCGGACAATCCTAAGAGGGACTTGCTTTTGGTGTATGATCTGTGTTTGACTGGTGAGGTGAGGGCCATCGATTTCTTCTTCTTCCCTTGTGTGTGAATGAATGAATGAGTGAGTGAGTGTGTGCATGTGGGTGTGTGAGTGTGCACGAGTGTGCACGGGCATTTTAACTCATTTAGGACAACATTTTTTCCTGGGGTTTGGACAGCATTAATTTTAAGTGGAATTTGTTTAGCGCAACACGACAAAGCTAAAACCTTCCTGAAGAAAAAGTATGGGCTGTATCGAGACTTATAATATATCAAATTCAAGATAAATGAGTGCAGAATTAATCTTAACTACTTAAATGTCAGTATAACAGCAAAATATTACTAAAATCACACAACATTCAAGGATGTTAGACACAAAGGAAAATTTTAAACATAAAAAATTGTGTGCTAACTTTATTTTTTACTGGTTCAGCAACACTGCTATCCAATTCTAAGAATACACATGCATTCTCTGTTCAATTATGTATTAGCTAATCTTTATTTGAAACAATTAATTTAAATACTTTGGATATTATAATCATTTTTGTATGACATGTCAATTTTCACAACAACCGAAAATCGGAAAAATACCTGATCGAAACATTGATCTAATTGAAGTATTTTGTGAAATTGTCATATCCTAAACTAAATTATCGCTAGTAGATGTGTCCCTTAGATATCAATCATAATATCAAGACTGTTTTTACCATCTGGCAGAGGTTCAACAACAATAGAGCAGTATGGACAGTTCTAGACCTTTTCCCTTATCATTTAGTATAGAAAAATCACGTACAAATTGTATCCCATCTAAATAGTTTTTTTAAATCACAAAATAATGCACCGACCACGATGAACATCGCAAATGAAAGTACATCCTGTTGTAAATCCTAATTGTTAAAAAACTTGTTCATAAAGTTCGTTTACCCTACAAATGGAACAAAATTAGAGTGTCTCTATCATGAGCCAGTAAACTGGCTTTACGTCATTAAGGGATAGACTTAAGCGCCAGTATACTTGCTAAACGTCTGAAAAGAGTTAAAACCGTTTTTTTTGAAAGTTTTATTTTTAAAATTATTTTTTCATAATTTGCATATTTTACGCATTATGGTGGGATATTTGTTTGTGCTGTTGCATACTGAGACAATGGTGTAGGTTCAACCCTCAGAAGTGCAGGATGTTTTTCTTTAGTCCAGCTCTAGAGACCACGCAGTCTTACAAACATGGCTACCAGACAACTTTTAGAATCTTCTGGGAAGTATCTTGGAGGAAGTCTGACGAGGAAGGGAACTGCTCAAGGCACCTCATATGTCATAGCCTAGAATGTGTGAGGTCTAACACTTCACATCCATTGGCTATGGGACTGGGACCACCTTTATTAAACCCCAAGTCTAGAGAGTTCCCCAATATTAGTCCAAGTACCCCAGTGTAGCTCAAGAAATGAAATAAAAGAGTCAGAGAAACCTGACAATCAGATTTCATAGAAACCTGACAATGAGAAGTTTGAAAAAACCCGGACAAATAGGATTTCATAACAACCTGACAAGATAACAAATAAACCTGACAAGATGTCATACAAACCTGACAGTAAGATGTCATTCAAAATTGATAAGCAAATTGTAGTTCAAACCTGACAAGAAAATGTCATTTAAACCTGACAACAATAGTAATTAATACAAACCTGAAACAAAAATGTCATCACACCTGACGCTGAAGTGTCATATAAACCTGACAGACAGATGTCATACAAACTGGACCACAATATGTCAGTACAAACCTGTATTGCTTATGATGATGGTCTTAATGTACAGAGTTTTGCTGAAGAAAATAAACTTCTTATTTCAGGCAATAGCATACCTACAGGGGCAGAACAAGAGATATTTCCATCTCCTCCTGGCCAACACAAAAGTATTTGCCAGAGTGGCTCCCAAACAGAAGGTAAGTCAAAAGCCAAAGGCATGCGCACATTTGCTTGTTGGTTTGTTGCCCAAGACACATGGAAGAATCACTACACAGGCACGGAAATGGGAAACAGATGGACTCAGGGAAAATGGACATCCAAGCGAAACCATAAGATGAACTTTGATGAAAGGGAACATAGGTGTTGGACTGGATTGCATCCATGGTATGCATAGGATAAAACTATGGAGGATTTGACGCCAAACCCCCTTCATGACAAATAAAGAGCACAATCTGATGATGGTAGATACTTATTGGAGATGATATGGCTCATATTTTCATCACAGCTGATTGGCCAAACCAATGAGATAAATAAAGTAAGGTACTTAGTAGCCATCTTGCAGCAAGAAAGCCAATTTTCTGACTTTTAAGGGTTTTGGTTCACTTGTTATCTTTAGACAGTTTATTGTTTGGCAGCTTTGGTACTGGCTTCAACATCATAGTGTGTAGACATGGTGGGTAGGATTATATTTAGGTAAAAACAATTGTAGACATTTTTTTTAATGCTGTGATGTCACAGTGACGTCACATACTTTTATTGTTTCAACACATTGCCAGTAATGATAAAAGTGGTCAAAACTGCTTCTATATGGTCATAGGGAAGGAAGTAGATTTTTCCTTTGCCCTGCTTGTATTTATGGGATTGCTTTTCTTCATGTGTCGGAATCAGTGGCCTAGGTGTTGCAAACGCACTTCGTAATACCAGGGTGCTGGGTTCGATCCCAGCTGCAGGCCTTGCGTTGTTTTCGACAGTGGTATCTAGAAGTCTGTAAAGGATACACAACTAACTGTTTTCCTTCATGTAAACACAAAAAACAAATTTCCAGATGTATACATTTAGTGACTGGAAAAAATACGGAATGTCATCAGAGAAGCAGGGGATTTTGGGCCTGCCTGTCTGCGAGGACTGAGAGATACTAGATAATTAAAAAAAATATATAATAAAATATTTATATTTTGGGCCTGGGTTTCTTAGGGTGGGGCTTCAGAAAATTAGGAGATGCATTACAAATTGTATTTTTTATTTATAAAGAATTTTATGGGCTTATATGTTTTTGTGGCTCTCTGTTTAACAAACAATTAATGGGTTACTTACACACTGACTTCGTGACTAGTTCCAAAAAATGATTTCCCCCTATTGGGTTGCAGCTTAAAATGTGGCCTTGTTTGTGAGATTTGTTGTAAGTGTAGCATTGTTTTGTAGTGTTTGATGTAAGTGTAGCATTGTTTTGTAGTGTGTGCTGTAAGTGTGGTATTGTTTGTGGAGTTTGCTGTAAGTGTGGCATCATTTGTGAAGTTTGCTTTAAACTACAAAACCTTGTACACAGAGTTGTCTTATATGTCTGTGCAGGAGCTTATCATCACCACACTCAAGTCTCAGGGCTATGTAACATTGATGTGTGGAGATGGCACCAATGATGTCGGGGCTTTGAAACATGCTGATGTTGGTGAGAACATTTTCCTTTCAGTTTTTGTCATATTTGTTACTCCTCAAAGATGACCAATGATGCCTGCTTTCTTCGCTTATTATCCATTAATATTACCTTACAACTATCACATAAGTTTTAAGTTTAACACAGTCTCATGTCTCAACAATTATACATTGTGCTGTGAACTGAATTTACAACCCTGTCATATTTGTATCATTACCGTCACAATTATCCCCACAACCGAGCCACTGTCTCATTTCACAACTGCCCCACTGTTTGTGACATTATTTCACTTCACAACTATCTCATAGTTGTGTCACTACCTTACGCCACAACTATCCCAATATTTCGCTATTATCTCTCCTCACAGTTATCCCACAGTTGTGCTGTTATCTCACCTCACAACTATCCCACAGTTGTGCCATTATCTCTCCTCACAGTTATCCCACAGTTGTGCTATTATCTCACCTCACAACTATCCCAATATTTCGCTATTATCTCTCCTCACAGTTATCCCACAGTTGTGCTATTATCTCACCTCATAACTATCCCACAGTTGTGCCATTATCTCACCTCACAAGTATCCCACAATTGTGACATTATCTAACTTCACAACTATCCTACAGTTGCTACAGTTGTGTCAACGTCACAAATGCCCCACTACTGTACCATTATCTCACTTTACAACTGTCCCATTATTTCATTTCTGAAAGATTCCAGAGTACCTAATTTCCCAACACTGTCAGCATGTATATTTCACATCACTAATAGAAACCACAAACGTCATTAAAGTCACAGGTACTAGAACCTCCGTCCTCAGAGGTTCTAGTTTAAAATAGTTATTGTTAGAGTCCAAACAATTCATAATAATAGCACCAAAGCACAGAACATGTAAAACTAACCATTCAGAATTATGAGTTAATGTAGCATCTTTCTGTGATAGACGTGAGTTAGAAAAGTTGACTGTATTTAGACTTATCAGTGAACGTGTGGTGTTTCATGCTACTGAAAGAGTTAATACAGGGTGTCCCATGTTTCCATACAAAGGGAAAAAATAACCATTGTGTGTGTCCTGCACTGCTTGCGTGGATTTTTATCATGGTATGGGGCGTTGCAGTATAACCCAGCCTAAAATGGGTACCAGGATGTATGTCCTGGTTAAGTAAAGACGGCCGGTGTAATGCTGACCACATTACCCACCTAGCACCGATTGGTCTGTAGAAATATGGGTGCTTTTCCCATAAGCCCGATGCGTCTAAAGGTGTGAAAAGAAATCTTTACTTTTTTTTAACCTCCACTGCCGAAGAATATGTGGAATTATGTTTGCAATGATGTTGGTGATGTAGTTTTTGTCTCCTTTATATGGAAACTTTTGGGACACCTTGTAGTTTAGATTAAAGTATAGTTCCAGCAGAGAGGGATGTATTTGGGGCAAATATGATGTTTTTACAGCGACTGAGTTAGTCTCATAACAGATATGACCCTTTTAAGGATGATCACGGAAGAAGACAAAGAAATGAAAGAACTGCATAGCAACAAACATCGCTGTAATTATGGCATGTCTTTTGTTGTTTTGCAGGTGTTGCTCTTCTAGCTAATGCTCCAGAAAAGTTACCAGACAAGAAAAAGAAAGAAGAAATTGTGAGTAAATAATTCCCATTTTGCAAATTTTTTTTTTTCACTGTGTAATGTGATGTTTCTTTACTTGATATGCATTCAAAGACATTATCCTCACATTTTGATAATACATCTTAATAATTGTTAGCTGTGTCTGATAGTTTCTACTGTATGAAGCTAAAGCATGGTGAACTAAAACAATAATTAATGAACTCATCATTGTGTAGCAGGTCCTTTGCAGAACGTCACTCTCATCACGGTCTGCCTGACTGAAACTGTCTCTCACCAGCTCTCCCACCTAGCACACTCTTATACCCGAGGAGTCACTTGTATCCTCTGCCCATCTTCTTGCTGGGCCACTCCTTCCTGGTACCATGCCTTCTGCTATTACTTGTTCCAGTTCACTGTGGGGTCCAGAATATTTATACTTCTAAGACAAGATGCTGTTTACAAGCCAGTCTTCCTTGATCTTTTAGGATGTCAGTATTTCTTTTCTTCTTTGTCCTTGGCAGTCTGAAAATCTTTCTATAGCATTTCAGATCAAAAGCCCAAATTTCTTCCTCAAGGACTGTGAGGTAGTATTAACTAACTGCAAACATTCATTAATTTCTGCCATTGCAAAATATAAGGAATTAAATGGTTTGACAAAATCAGTAATGGATAACTTTCAGAGAGAACTAGACAAATTTCTGTGCATCAAGAGTTTACGAAAAACGCTGGCATTGAATTGGACACGCATTAAGAAAACTTGATTACAGCATAACTACAATGTTCTGACACTGGAACCAGCAAGGCCAAGGAGTAAAGGCAGACCAATAAATACATGGAGACAGAAATGAAAGAGTGGAGTGAAAAAAACATTGAGACATTGGTTAGCTACACACAATAACAAAAGATAGGATGACAGTAGAAGTTGGTTGAAGGCGTATGTTCTATTGGGTGATACAGTGCAGAGAAAGGAAAACTTAACTTTTTCTTTCATTTTGATAATCTTCATTTATTTTATGCTAACTTAAAAGATTTTTGTTTTGTTTTTTTGGGTCGAGGTGCGGCTGGCTGAACAGTTAGAACGCTGGGCTCTCAAGCGGGAGACCCAGCTTGACTCCTCAGTAAGGCTGGGGATTTTTTCTGTCGAGAGCAAAACAAAATCTGCTCCTGCACAGTTGTGGTGACAGCACTAGCTATGCGGCCGTAAATCCTTAGGCTCAGACCCCCCCCCCCCCCCCCCCGCCTACATCGCAAAAATGTTATGATAAAGGCAGTAAACTGACAGTTTTTCTTTCTGGTCTATAGAAACCACATGGAACAGTATTCTAGATAACCATCTCAGCTGCTTTCTGTTACTTGTATCTGTTCTGTATGTTCTGCCAGGTCATGTTTTTACTATTCTCTGTTCTGTATTTTCTATGATTATTTACACTGTTCTGTCTTCTATATATTACTTGTTGTCTGTATTGAGATCCTAGCACATCAGTCCAACCCATATATGCTGTGTCCTCCAGTGCAGCAGCCAAGGTCAGTTTTTCCATGCTGAATTTTTCCTGCAGTTGGGATATCTTCTTTCTTTGACCAGAAACACCAGTGTATGTCTTTCATACTGGGTCATCTTGTGTCTAGTATCCATGTCTGACAATTCAAGGATGTATCACATTTGTTTTTGTATGTGTTCAGTGACAATATGTTGACACTGTTCTCTCTTCTGTATGTTCAGTGACACTATGTTGACACTGTTCTCTCTTCTGTATGTGTTCAGTGACAATATGTTGACACTGTTCTCTCTTCTGTATGTGATCAGAGACAATATTTTGACACTGTTCTCTCTTCTGTATGTGTTCAGTGACAATATGTTGACAATGTTCTGTCTTCTGTATGTGTTCAGTGACAATATGTTGACACTGTTCTCTCTTCTGTATGTGTTCAGTGACAGTATGTTGACACTGTTCTCTCTTCTGTATGTTCTAGGATGGAGACACAGGTAGTTCAGTGGACAGAACACCACCAGGGGCAAACCCACGTGGACCCCCAGGCAGGCTAACCAGCCGCGTGGCAAAACAGCGAGCAGTCACTAGAGGGGAGAATCTTTCAGCAAATCAGGTATGGTTGTCCATTTGACCATTTTGTATGTGTAGTCAAGTGTGGTTGTCCATTTGAGCATTTTGTATGTGTAGTCAAGTATGGTAGTCCATTTTAGCATTTTGTATGTGTAGTCAAGTATGGTTGCTCATTTTGTGTGTAGTCAAGTATGGTAGTCAATTTTAGCATTTTGTATGTGTAATCAAGTATGGTTGCTCATTTTGTGTGTAATCAAGTATGGTTGCTCATTTTGTTTGTAATCAAGTATGGTTGCTCATTTTGTTTGTAATCAAGTATGGTTGCTTGTTTTGTTTGTTATCAAGTATGGTTGCTCGTTTTGTTTGCAATCAAGTATGGTTGCTCGTTTTGTTTGTAATCAAGTATGGTTGCTCGTTTTGTTTGCAATCAAGTATGGTTGCTCGTTTTGTTTGCAATCAAGTATGGTTGCTCGTTTTGTTTGTAATCAAGTATGGTTGCTTGTTTTGTGTGTAATCAAGTATGGTTGCTTGTTTTGTTTGTAATCAAGTATGGTTGCTCGTTTTGTTTGCAATCAAGTATGGTTGCTCGTTTTGTTTGTAATCAAGTATGGTTGCTCATTTTCTTTGCAATCAAGTATGGTTGCTCGTTTTGTTTGCAATCAAGTATGGTTGCTCGTTTTGTTTGCAATCAAGTATGGTTGCTCGTTTTGTTTGTAATCAAGTATGGTTGCTTGTTTTGTGTGTAATCAAGTATGGTTGCTCGTTTTGTTTGTAATCAAGTATGGTTGCTCATTTTGTTTGTAATCAAGTATGGTTGCTTGTTTTGTTTGTAATCAAGTATGGTTGCTCATTTTGTTTGTAATCAAGTATGGTTGCTCGTTTTGTTTGTAATCAAGTATGGTAGCTTGTTTTCTTTGCAATCAAGTATGGTTGCTTGTTTTGTGTGCAATCAAGTATGGTTGCTTGTTTTCTTTGCAATCAAGTATGGTTGCTTGTTTTGTTTGCAATCAAGTATGGTTGTTTTGTGTGTAATCAAGTATGGTTGCTTGTTTTGTGTGTATTCAAGTATGGTGCTCATTTTGTTTGTAATCAAGTATGGTTGCTTGTTTTGTTTGTAATAAAGTATGGTTGCTCATTTATTTAAAACATTTTTATGTTCGTATTCAGGTATGGTTGCCCGTTTGAGCATTTTATGTTCTAGTTAGAACATAAACTAATAATATTTTGTTTTTGTTTTTGTTTTTATGTGTGTTTAGTTTGGGGGTAGTGCCAATGAAATTTTTTATATGATATGGTTTCAGTGCCTGACATTCTAGTTATATTGTTATCAGGTTTTCTCACTGTGCGTCCTATCCATAACCAGTGTTTTTTCCTCACCACTCGATTTTTAAAAATAATTTTTTAATACTCTCCAAAAGCTGTACACTGGAGTCACTGTTTGACATTAGAAGGAAAATTTCTCAAACAGCAGAGAATGGAAAGTAAGAAGCAGCCACGAGTTTCATAATCTGGTTACAACACATCTACTTACTGGCATCATGAAGGCTAATAGACTGCAATGGTTGGGACGTACAGAGAGAAGGGCATACAGCAGAAAGACAAAAGTTGCAAGAGTGGAATTGGTGTAGACTACATGACAGACCAAGAAGATATTGGATAAATAATATTCAGATTTAAGTGTGGCACATATGGGCACTGTGATTGGACCTTGGTTGATACTGTCTCTTCCATGTTGTTTAGTTATCACATTGTCTTTGGCCCTAGCCCTACCTCAGAGGGCTACAGGCTTGGGAAGTCAGACTTGAAGAAAACCTAGTATCTGTGACAGTTTGTAGATCTTTCTTCTTCTTCTTCTGTGCACTCACCAGCTGTATGGTCAGGCAGAAAGTTCTGGTTGTTCGTCCAATCTGGACGATGGTCTTGTTCCAGAACTTGAGTTTTTGCATGTGCGTCCGCTTCACAGATTTGACCTAGTTGTATGCAAACTGTTGGTTCCTCACCTGTCAGGCAGATGCACTCCAACATAGGTAATGGGTCAGTTCTTTGCCGCTACACTTGGGTTCCCAAACACACATGGGGAGTAAGGTCATTCAGCTGTGAGATTATCTTACTTGTTTCTATATGTATTTTTAACCATGTTTCTGTATGTATTAGACTATTTTTAGTCATGTTTCTGTATGTATTAGACTATTTTTAGTCATGTTTCTGTATGTATTAGACTATTTTTAGTCATGTTTCTGTATGTATTAGACTATTTTTAGTCATGTTTCTGTATGTATTAGACTATTTTTAGTCATGTTTCTGTATGTATTAGACTATTTTTAGTCATGTTTCTGTATGTATTAGACTATTTTTAGTCATGTTTCTGTATGTATTAGACTATTTGTAGTCATATTTCTGTATGTATTAGACTATTTTTAGTCATGTTTCTGTATGTATTAGACTATTTTTAGTCATGTTTCTGTATGTATTAGATCATTTTTAGTCATGTTTCTGTATGTATTAGACTATGTTTAACAATGTTTCTGTATGTATTAGACTATGTTTAACAATGTTTCTGTATGTATTAGATCATTTTTAACAATGTTTCTGTATGTATTAGACTATGTTTAACAATGTTTCTGTATGTATTAGACTATGTTTAACAATGTTTCTGTATGTATTAGACTATGTTTAACAATGTTTCTGTATGTATTAGACTATTTTTAACAATGTTTCTGTATGTATTAGACTATTTTTAACCATGTTTCTGTATGCATTGACTATTTTTAACCATGTTTCTGTATGTATTAGACTATTTTTAACCATGTTTCTGTATGTATTAGACTATTTTTAACATTGTTTCTGTATGTATTAGACTATGTTTAACAATGTTTCTGTATGTATTAGACAACAATGTTTCTGTATGTATTAGACTATTTTTAACAATGTTTCTGTATGTATTAGACTATTTTTAACCATGTTTCTGTATGTATTAGACTATTTTAACCATGTTTCTGTATGCATTGACTATTTTTTAACCATGTTTCTGTATGTATTAGACTATTTTTAACCATGTTTCTGTATGTATTAGACTATTTTTAACAATGTTTCTGCTATTGCAAATGATTCATGTGTTGCCCTGCCTCCCCATGTGCGTTCCCTGTTCTTATTTTAGGGGGAAAGATAATAAACCCACTACTTTCCCAGCAAGTATGTAATCAAAGTCGACTAATTAGAGGTGTTTCCTTTGAAGTTGAAGTGCATCTGCCGGAGACACGAGGAACTAACAGTCTGCATGTAAATAAGCCAGATCTGTAAAGCAGATTTAGAGCAATTTCTGGAACAAGACCAAAGTCCAGAAGCGGGCGAACAGCCAGAACTTTCCACCAGAGCTTAAGCTTTTCAGTGAATGCTAAGAAGAGGAGGAGAGCCGTACTGCAAATTACTCATTGCATATGTTGTTTCAGAGGAAACTGCAGGCTGTGCTGAAGGAAATAGAAGAGGAGGAGAAAGCCCAAGTTATAAAATTAGGGGATGCCAGCATTGCGTCACCATTCACTTCAAAATTGTCTACTGTCATGAGTGGTGAGTTGTCTTTGCTCAGCTGTCACGTTTATAAGTCAATTTTACTGACATCATCATCATCATCAGCTTCCATTTCTGTCACTAAGCATCAGGAAGAGGAACAGTTCGAGGTTGGGTACTTGTTGGATAGCACTCATCAACATTATTGTTATTATGATTACCGTCATGATCATTGTAATCATTATCATCATAACCATCATCATCATCATCATTATCATCATCATCATCATCTTCATCATCGTGACTAATTAAAGTATGGCAAGTATCTTGGTTACTTTAGAAGAGAACTTAGCAAGTAGAAGTGGACCAAGAGATGAAGAAAAGACGCTTGCATTGGATAGGACGCACATGTGAGAAAACCTGAGAACAGTATAATAGTGTAATATTGCTCTATGTGCAGGCATGTGACTCACAGCCCATGGCGATGGTGAGCATGACTAGCAAGACCTGCCTGTGTTAAGAAAAGTCTTCCACAATTATAGCACGGCATTTCGAAATCATTGGTCAACATTTGTGTTTAGTCTGTTTCTTCTGAGACGCTCAGCTCTTATCCTTTCTGCGATCATTTCTTCCTTCATTCTTATTCCCTTTCTGCTGTGCCCCCTCCACCCAACACAGTCCAAATGTTCCTTCGAGTCCACCTCAATACCAGTATCATTCATGTCCTGCTTGCATGCATTTTTATATCGTGGTAGAGGTCGGCCTTGAGACTGACATCTTCTGCCCATCTTTAATTCACCATAGACGTTGTCCTTTACGGCTTTGCCATCCTCCATTCTCGAGGTGTGACCCAGCCACTTGAGCCTCCAAAAACTGAGCATTAAAAAAACTGCTGTAATACTTGCTCTTTCCAACATCTTAGTGTTTGATTTCGTCCTGCCACTTATTCTTTGGCATCGCATGTGAAAGCTGCTTAGCTGTTTCTCCTGGTGCAAATAGGTTGACCAAGTTTCCCTGCTATAAAGCAGAGTGCTGTAAACACAAAAACCCCCCCCCCCCCCCCCCCCCCCCAAAAGTCATAAATTAACTCTGTGAGTCCCAGAGGGAGCAGCATCACAGGCCCAAGGGGTAGTAAAAAGAGACATAACATCGACGTATCATATGCGTATTGGGTTTCTGTGTAGGAACTTATGGACGTATGATGCGTTCCTTGGGACTCAAAGAGTTAAGACAAATTTGGAGTTTGCTAAAGTTGGATGTTTTAGGCCAAAAGGTGCAAGTATCCCAGCCTTATTATAAACCCCAATATGCCAGCCACCCATTCAAGGACAAACACAGAAGTAGAAGAAGAAAATAGGATGAATTGGCGTAAGTTGGTTGTCTGCCTCTATTTCTCTGTAGACACAAGATGCAAAAGGAAGTTTCTTATGTAACCAGACCTTCTCCATTCCTCTTGTGCAACGAGTTTGTGTCTCTTTCAGTGTGCAACATAATCAAACAAGGCAGGTGTACTCTGGTCACAACCCTGCAGATGTTTAAGATCCTGGCACTCAACGCCTTGGTGCTCGCCTACAGCCAGAGTGTTCTCTACTTGGATGGCATCAAGTTCAGTGATGGCCAGGCTCACCATGCAGGGACTGCTCCTGGCTGGATGTTTCTTGTTCATATCTAGATCTAAAGTAAGTGCTACCATGCAGGGACTGCTCCTGGCTGGATGTTTCTTGTTCATATCTAGATCTAAAGTAAGTGCTACCATGCAGGGACTGCTCCTGGCTGGATGTTTCTTGTTTATATCTAGATCTAAAGTAAGTGCTACCATGCAGGGACTGCTCCTGGCTGGATGTTTCTTGTTCATATCTAGATCTAAAGTAAGTGCTACCATGCAGGGACTGCTCCTGGCTGGATGTTTCTTGTTCATATCTAGATCTAAAGTAAGTGCTACCATGCAGGGACTGCTCCTGGCTGTGTGTTTCTTGTTCATATCTAGATCTAAAGTAAGTGCTACCATGCAGGGAACTGCTCCTGGCTGGATGTTTCTTGTTCATATCTAGATCTAAAGTAAGTGCTACCATGCAGGGACTGCTCCTGGCTGTGTGTTTCTTGTTCATATCTAGATCTAAAGTAAGTGCTACCATGCAGGGACTGCTCCTGGCTGTGTGTTTCTTGTTCATATCTAGATCTAAAGTAAGTCTCGTGTCCAGTTCAAAAGTAGAATATTTGTAAACTTTTGCCTTTATCAACCACCTTTCCAGTGTAAGCAGAGGGGTTTTTGAACCTGGGTATTTAAAACTGTCAGGCTGTTGCTCGCTGTCCTCATGGACTGTGCAGGTTATGATTTTACTTTTGCCCCTGACAGGAAAAGTCCATGATCTCACCGAGGATTCAAACCTGGGTGTCTTGCATGAGAAACATTTTTAACCATTCGGCCAACCGCTCCATGCATTATTGTGTTAGAATATGTTTTTCTGGTTTTCAGCACCTTTCCGTCTTTTGTTATATTGTGCCACATATAATTCAAAAACAATTTCGTGTCTAAATCAAAACTAAATTTCATACCTGATTATTAAAATAAAGTCTATAGATTCTTGCTAGTTCAAAACAAGACTTATGTTTAATTCAAAAATAACTCTCATGTATAATTTGAAAGTAACTTTTGAGTCTAATTGAAAAGTAAGTTTTCAAAACTAGTTCAAAAAGCAGTCTCATATCTAATTCAATAAACCATATGCCTAATTCAGAAGAAAGTTCTTTGTCAAATTCAAATTTCTATCTAGTTCAAAAATAAGTCTCATGTTCATTTAACAAATAAGGTCTTATTCTTAAAACTAAAACAAATGTAAGTGCTATCCATGTCCTCCCCAGACAATATCTATGTTCTTCCCAGACAACAGCCATGTCCTATCCATGTCCTCCCCAGACAACAGCCATATCCTATCCATGTCCTCCCCAGACAACAGCCATGTCCTCCCCAGACAACAGCCATGTCCTCCCCAGACAACAGCCATGTCTCATCCATGTTCTCCCCAGACAACAGCCATATCCTATCCATGTCCTCCACAGACAACATCCATGTCCTCCCCAGACAACAGCCATATCCTATCCATGTCCTCCCCAGACAACATCCTTGTCCTCCCCAGACAACAGCCATGTCCTATCCATGTCCTCCCCAGACAACAGCCATATCCTATCCATGTCCTCCCCAGACAACAGCCATGTCCTCCCCAGACAACAGCCATGTCCTCCCCAGACAACAGCCATGTCTCATCCATGTTCTCCCCAGACAACAGCCATATCCTATCCATGTCCTCCACAGACAACATCCATGTCCTCCCCAGACAACAGCCATATCCTATCCATGTCCTCCCCAGACAACATCCTTGTCCTCCCCAGACAACAGCCATCTCCTCCCCAGACAACAGCCATGTCCTCCCCAGACAACAGTCATGTCCTCCCCAGACAACAGCCATGTCCTCCCCAGACAACATCCATGTCCTTCCCTGACAACAGCCATGTCCTATCCATGTCCTCCTCACACAACATCCATGTCTTATCCATGTCCTCCTCACACAACATCCATGTCCTCCTCACACAATTATCCATGTCCTCCCCATATAACAGCCATGTCCTCCCCTGACAACAGCCATGTCCTAACCATGTCCTCCTCACACAACATCCATATCCTCCTCACACAACATCCATATCCTCCCCAGACAACATCCGTGTCCTCCCTAGACAACGGCCATGTCCTCACCAGACAACAGCCATGTCCTCCCCAGACAGCATCCATGTCCTCCCCAGACAACAGCCATGTCCTCCCCAGACAACATCCATGTCCTCCCCAGACAACATCCATGTCCTCCCCAGACAACATCCATGTCCTCCCCAGACAACAGCCATGTCCTCCCCTGACAACAGCCATGTCCTATCCATGTCCTCCTTACACAACATCCATGTCCTTCTCACACAACAGCCATGTCCTCCCCATACAACAGCCATGTCCTCCCCTGACAACAGCCATGTCCTATCCATGTCATCCCCATACAACAGCCATGTCCTCCCCTGACAACAGCCATGTCCTATCCATGTCATCCTCACACAACATCCAAGTCCTCCCCAGACAACAGCCATGTCCTCCCCTGACAACAGCCATGTCCTATCCATGTCATCCTCACACAACAGCCATGTCCTCCCCATACAACAGCCATGTCCTCCCCTGACAACAGCCATGTCCTCCCCTGACAACAGCCATGTCCTCCCCTGACAACAGCCATGTCCTCCCCTGACAACAGCCATGTCCTCCCCTGACAACAGCCATGTCCTATCCATGTCATCCTCACACAACAGCCATGTCCTCCCCATACAACAGCCATGTCCTATCCATGTCATCCTCACACAAAGCCATGTCCTCCCCATACAACAGTTATTTCCTCCCCTGACAACAGCCATGTCCTCCCCTGACAACAGCCATGTCCTATCCATGTCCTCCCCATGCAACAGCCATGTCCTCCCCATACAACAGCCATGTCCTCCCCTGACAACAGCCATGTCCTAACCATGTCCTCCTCACGCAACATCCATATCCTCTCCAGACAACAGCCATGTCCTCCCCAGACAACAGCCATGTCCTCCCCAGACAACAGCCATGTCCTATCCATGTCCTCCTCACACAACATCCATGTCCTATCCATGTCCTCCTTACACAACATCCATGTCCTCCTCACACAACAGCCATGTCCTCCCCATACAACAGCCATGTCCTCCCCTGACAACATCCATGTCCTATCCATGTCCTCCTTACACAACATCCATGTCCTCCCCAGACAACATCATGTCCTCCCCATACAACAGCCATGTCCTCCTTACACAACATCCATGTCCTCCCCAGACAACATCCATGTCCTCCCCATACAACATCCATGTCCTCCCCAGACAACAGCCATGTCCTCCCCAGACAACAGCCATGTCCTCCCCAGACAACAGCCATGTCCTCCCCTGACAACAGCCATGTCCTATCCATATCCTCCTCACACAACATCCATGTCCTATCCATATCCTCCTCACACAACATCCATGTCCTCACACAACATCCATGTCCTCCCCATACAACAGCCATGTCCTATCCATGTCCTCCTCACACAACATCCATGTCCTCCTCACACAACATCTATGTCCTCCCCATACAACAGCCATGTTCTATCCATGTCCTCCTCACACAACATCCATGTCCTATTCATGTCCTCCTCACACAACATCCAAGTCCTCCCCAGACAACAGCCATGTCCTAACCATGTCCTCCCCAGACAACATCTGTGTCCTCCCCAGACAACAGCCATGTCCTAACCATGTCCTCCTCACACAACATCCAAGTCCTCCCCAGACAACAGCCATGTCCTCCTCACACAACATCCAAGTCCTCCCCAGACAACAGCCATGTCCTAACCATGTCCTCCCCAGACAACATCTGTGTCCTCCCCAGACAACAGCCATGTCCTAACCATGTCCTCCTCACACAACGTCCAAGTCCTCCCCAAACAACAGAAATTCCAGTTATACTGTTAACAGATTTTCTCCATGTTTGTCTTCACCATTGTCTTTCTCCATCTCCTGATTTGCTGGATTTGTTTTCTTTGTTACTTAAACCCAGCAATAATATAAAATAGGTCAATTCTCTTCTTTCTTTGTTTGCTTTCTCCGGCTGTAAACTCCAGCAGAGAGTTCTGATTGTTCGTCCACTTCTGGACTTTGGTCTTGTTCTACAACTTGAGTTTTGTATTTTCAGATCTGACTTATTTGTAGCTTGAGTTTTGCATGCATATCTTTTGTGCAGATCTGATATATCTGAATGCAGACTGTTGGTTTCTCGCCTCTCAGGCAGATGCACTCCAGCTTTGAAACAAACAACATCTAATTAGTCACCTACTATGTCAGGTTTTTTAAGGGATCAGTGGGTCTGTTCTTTGTTCTCCATAAATACAGCCCAGGAATCCACAGTTTTAAAATAAGTCATAGTAAAGTACCATTTCGACACTTTCAGATTTGCTGGACATATTGTGCTAGAGCCATTACAAAAAAAGACTAATAGTTACTCTGTACATAGGAGATGTGATCTGCCTTTCCTTCCCAGGACATCACCTGGTGGCCTTGTTTAAGCAGGCTCAACCTAAAAACCCGTTTTTACAAATCTGCCTTGGTGAGAATTTAAACCTATGACTGCTAGGCTCCCAGGCATTTGGCACTAGGCAAACAGGATCTCTTACGGGTAATATGTGGTGGCACCTTAATATTTTTTTAGACTAACTCACAGTCAATAGGTGTTCTGGTCAGTATCATGCCAGCTGCCTTTACTTCCCAGAATGTTGCCTGGCACCAGTTTTAGTCAGTGGTGTTGTGAGCTTCAGTCAGTTGTACAAGTCAGTCTGCTCAGTGTGGGCTCAGAGCTGTGATCTCTGGGCCGACAGACATGTGACAGTTTTCTGAGTAAAAGTAGCATTCCATGTATTACTGCCAAAACCTCCAATTGCTGCCTGTATGAACTATCTTTCCGGAGTAAGCAGAGGGGAGGAATCTTTGAGCTTGCGATTAAGAGCTGGATGGCTAGTGCGCACTGTCAATATAAACTGCAGGTTAGGATTTTACTTTAGCCCCCAACAGAACAAACCCCTGGCCTCAGCAAAGATCTCGGTCTCCGACATAGGAGCCCACCATTTTTAACCACTTGGCCAGCTGCTCCATGCATTATTATATTAAAATGCATTTTCTTGTTGTTGGCACCTTTCTGTCTTTCAAGATGATATTGTTATCTAGTGCCATGTGGAGGCAGTTGCTGGTGTTAAGGAAAAACATCCTCAAGCTGTTGTAGTGTGAATGTACACTTCCTTTTATCCTGTGAAGGTGACGTTATTCTATTTGATGTATTGCTGTTAGTTCTTCTTCTTTTACTTCTTCTTTCGTTGGCTTGAAATAGATGATCTATATCTGCAATGTTGTCTCTAGTATGAACTTCACTGTCTTTTGTCATTCACTCAGCGACCCGTAAAGTTGACTTGCACCGGTGTTTCTCTTGGCCAAAGTTTTGCCTTGATATGTTGTATTTGGGACAGTCTTAGAGAACATGATCTGTTGTCTCAGGTGCTAGTCCACATTTGCACATGGCTGATTCGCCGATTTTAAATTTTGTGTACATATGGCTGCGAAGTGATCGCCTAGACTATGTTTTATCCTCGACATACACTGGCCAAGGAATCAGCTGTTGTATGAACAATAAACAGTGTCAACGAGTCATATCATTCTTATTGTCCATTCTTCACCTGTTCATTTATACGTCAGTGTACGGTTGAGGAGACTGCAAGTGACTGGAGCCAAGACTCAGTGTAATTAGAGTCATTGCAGTAGTTAATCTGCTTCTTCTCATACGCTCAGCTCTCATTAATCTGTCTGCCGTAACTTTTCTTCTTTATTCCTATTCCCTTCCTGACTTTTGCCCTCACCTCAGCATAGCATCCTGTTTCAATGAATCCATCTCAATCTCTGTATCATTCATGATTCACTTGCCCACATCTTTATATCTAGTAGAGGACAACCTCGACAAATGAATAATCTTCTGGGAAATCAAATAACCTTTTCATTTCTTCTCACAAACAGCCGCTGAAGTCGCTGTCCAAAGAACGGCCATTACCAAATATTTTCAATGTCTACACCGTTCTGACAGTGTTCCTTCAGTTCTGTGTGCATTTTACCAGTCTGCTGTACCTCGTGCGGGAGGCCAAGTCTAGGATGCCGAAAAGGTTTGTTGTGCATGAAATCACTGTCAGTGAGTTTTGTCTGTATTGTGTCAGACATTTTACCAGTCTGTATCTTTCTCTCAAGTCATTGTTTTTATGACTGTCTCTGTCTGCACCTTGATCATGTTGCTGCCTTTGTCTGTTTCTCTCCCAGTCATGTTGTTATGTTTGTCTATTTCTTTTACAGTCATATTGTTATATTTGCTTTTCTGTCCTCTGATCTTGTTGTTACATCTGTATTTCTCTCCCCCTGGTTATATTGTTGTATTCATCTGTTTCTCTCCCTCTGGTTATATTGTTGTATTCATCTGTCTCTTCCCCCTGGTTATATTGTTGTATTCATCTGTCTCTTCCCCCGGTTATATTGTTCTATTCATCTGTCTCTCCCTAGGGAGGAGGGACAGTTTGTGGACCTGGAGAAGTCCTTTGAACCCAGCATATTGAACACAACTGTCTACATTATTTCCATGTCTCTCCAAGTCTCCACATTTGCTGTCAACTACAAGGTGGGTAATATTGTTGTACTTCATGTTTCTCCGCTGTGTTTCTGTCCGGATGGGGTGGAAAATGTACCTTGTAACTCAGAAGTGTCCTTTTGTTTTTGGATTTAGGAACCAATGGACATCACAATCCTTTGGCCCTGATTCCATGATAGATACCGTAAATCTGGGAAATTTTTGGCTTTTCTGCCTACCCCTGAACGTGAACTCGGACCACAATGAGTTTGTCAACCGGTTGCTGTTTAACCAACTTACCTAGCTCGCTGGGCAAAAGTGTCCTTACTGTTGCTGTATTTGAATCTTTCCCCTCTGTCTCTGACCTCATGGGGTGGAAGAGCTAAAAGGTATTTTGGTTGTAGTACAGAATCCTAAGAGAGCCACCCTAGCACAATGGCTAACGTTCCTGTCATCCCGCACGGTCATGAGTTTGAATCCCATTTGAGGTAGCATTATATTCATTGACCTGAGCTCCCAGGTGATTCCAGCCCTAAAATGAGGGCCAGAAACATTTCCTAGACAGTAGAGGGGACCTAAATATTAGTGCAAAAGACTTCAGAGTTGATATTTGTGCACTAGAAGATTCAGACTCAACCAACCAAACTGATCAGTCAATCAGGTGCCATCACCACAAGGAAGGGTGGCTGTAGTGAATCTCGAACACGCTCGCTCTCTTGTCCTTATTGTTTTTTCTGACGAATGTACTGGTAATCCATCTCTGGGTGCTATCCCTCTTCCTTGTTTCACTGTCTTATCCTTTGCTCACAGATCCCTAGGGGTTGTGCAGAACTGTTTTTCCATAAGTCTGGCATCACAAATCTTCTGTTTCTTCTTCTTAGTGTTCAGCAGCTGTTAACTCTTGACTCTGGTTTGGTTCTAGAGCTTCAGTTTTCCCTGCACATCAGTTTCACAGATCTGGCTTAGTTGTATGCAAATTGTTGGTTCTGGATGCATTCTTGATTTTGAAGGAAACACCCCTAATTAGTAGCCTTGTACGACTTGCTTATTTAGGGGGGGGGGGGGATAGGTTGCATGTCTGGTTTTTTCCCCCCAGCCAAAATGGGGCTCCGGAACCCTTTCAGGAATGTCATCACAAATGAAATCTCTGTGTAATTTATTGATTCGATTTCCAAGAATTGCAACATGTTTTTCTGTACATCGTCATCAGGGCCTAAGTAAAAAAAAAAAAAGGAAAGTAAAGGAAGTAAAGGACCCTTTTCCACGCCTTTAGGCGTATAGGGCATTTAGGGCTAGACCTATATTTTTATAGACCAATCGGCACAAGATGGGTGATGTGGTCAGCATCACGCCGGCCGCTTCTACTTCCCGGGACTGCACCCGGTAACCACTCAAGGCTGGGTCAACCTGGGAGCCAAGGTCATTTTTGAAAATAGTCCGGCTCCGCCAGGGAGCGAACCCACCACCTTCCTATCTGCGGCGAGCGTCTAGCCGCTCGGGAACGGCTACCCCCCAAGGCCTTAGTTCAACTTCTACTTATTAGTTACCCAACTGACATCTACATTTAAATGATTTTGTTGTCAGGGAGAGCCATTCATGGAGAGATTGCGAGACAACAAACCTCTGGTCTACAGTTTAATCTTCTCTACATGTGCCATCCTAACACTGGCCAGCGGCCTCATTCCAGAGTTGCAGCAGCAGTTTGAACTTGTGGAGCTTCCCACGGAGGTATGTGCCGTCTTCATCTCATATACACTTTTACAGGCATGCTCAGTTAACTAGAGTATCAACTCTTTCAGTCCTGACAAACATGTGACCATAAATTCCAGACATTGTACAATGTGTCCTTATTGTTTTACATTTGATTTGAGCAGCTGAAGAAATCTGGCATCAGCAGTGGCACTATGTGTTTAACCTTTTTAAAAGTAATGTTAAGCAAAAGTGTAAGGGACCCTTTTTGTCCCTTGTCACATCATATATATAATGCTAGATTCATGGTTTTATAGACCTGTCAACGGCCACCTTTACTTTCTTGAACATTACCTTATATCCATTTTAAACTAGTTCGACCTATGAGCCAAGGTCTTCTTGTTCACTTTCACCGGCTGTAAACTCTGGCGGAAAGTTCTGGTTGTTTATCTACTTCTGGACTTTAATCTTGTTCTAGAACCTGAGTTTTCCATGTACATCTATTTTACAGATGTGGCTTATTTTTGTGCAGACTGTTGGTTCCTCGGCTTTCAGGTAGATGCACTCTGACTCTAAATTAAACATCCCTAATTAGTAAACTCTTAGGACAGTGGAGCAGTGGGTTTATTGTCCTCCCCTCTTTTCTCCCCCTTCTATGTGGAACCCACACAGTGAGAGCCAAGGTCAGGTTGAATACAATTCTGCCTTGATGTGAATATTTCTTTAGCCTCAGACTGTCATGCCTGTATGCAAATATTTCTTTAACCTCAGACTGTCAGGCCTATATGCAAATATTTCTTTAGCCTCAGACTGTCAGGCTTATATGCAAATATTTGTTTAGCCTCAGACTGTCAGGCTTGTATGCAAATATTTGTTTAGCCTCAGACTGTCAGGCTTATATGCAAATATTTCTTTAGCCTCAGACTGTTAAAGCTTATATGCAAATATTTCTTTAGCCTCAGACCGTCAGGCATGTATGCAAATATTTCTTTAGCCTCAGACTGTTAAAGCTTATATGCAAATGTTTCTTTAGCCTCAGACTGTTAAAGCTTATATGCAAATATTTCTTTAGCCTCAGACCGTCAGGCATGTATGCAAATATTTCTTTAGCCTCAGACTGTTAAAGCTTATATGCAAATGTTTCTTTAGCCTCAGACTGTTAAAGCTTATATGCAAATGTTTCTTTGGCCCCAGACTGTTAAAGCTTATATGCAAATGTTTCTTTAGCCTCAGACTGTTAAAGCTTATATGCAAATATTTCTTTAGCCTCAGACCGTCAGGCTTGTATGCAAATATTTCTTTAGCCTCAGACTGTCAGGCTTGTATGCAAATATTTCTTTAGCCTCAGACTGTTAAAGCTTATATGCAAATGTCTTAAAAGATGTGCTCTCCTGAATGTTTGCGTGTGTTTGTGTGCTCGCATGTGTGTATGTGTGAGTGTGTGTTAGTGAATGATTGTGTGTGTGTGTGTGCATGTGTGAATGTTTGTGTTTGTGAGAGTGTGTGTGTATGTGTATGAGAGAGTGTTTGTGAGTGTTTGTTTGTGAGTGTGATTGTGAGTGTGTGTGTTTGTGAGCGAGTGTGTGTGTATGTTTATATTTATGAGAGTGTGTGTGTGTTTGTGAGTGTGTGTGTGTATGAGAGTGTGTGTTTGTGAGTGTGTGTGTTTGTGAGTGTGTGAGTGAAAAAAAGCTGAAAGGAGTCTATATGTATTCATATATTGAATGAATAAAGTACTGCATGTGTATATGACAACATTGACAAGGCCAAAACTACATTCATTAAACTCTGCGGAAAAAAAGAGTTAATTTGGCTAAGAGCATTTAATATTATGAAAATATATCACAGTCGTTATTGCAGATACTGGATGTGCTTTTAACTGTTTCTGTTTCAGTTCCGCAACACAGTCCTGGGTGTGGTGATTGCGGACATCGGGCTGGTGTTTCTCATCGATCGCACTGTGCAGTTTCTTCTGGGTGGTGGCAGGTTGAAGCCCACCTGTTGAGAACATCTCCATTAGACCACTTGTTCTAGCTAGCAATGCTAATTATTTTATTTTGTTTCCATTTTGTCTCTGCATCGCCATTGTGAATTTCTTATGTATTTGAGGAACTGCATTTTTAGAGTGATATGAGGGTAACAAAGATTCAGTTTTCTCTCAGTATGTGTGTCTGTCATTTTGGTTTGGGATATTTCGGTGGAAGTGAAGTCATTAATTTAACTGGTTTTTTTTTTTCCAATGGTGGGGGATGAATAATGTTTTCGAAAGAGTTTTGTAATGCTGTCTGTAGCAGTCGCCTGTCCTCTTTTATTGATCTGTCATGTTGTTTCTGCATCCCAAGATATGCGCCTCTGTTCTCTGTTCTTTCTCATGGTTGTTTTACCTTCCATTTTACTTTGTTTTTGACCTTTTTTCCTGGCACTTGTTCTCAGCTCAGCTCAACTTTACCTATGCTCTATTTCAAAATCAGGACATGCCACGGCCTGCCCGAAGATACTTTTCTGGCTCTTTCAGGGCAGTCTCTGTACTTCTCAGGACATTCATTTGTCTTTCTCAAGACACTTCTCTGTCCCTCTCAAGACACTTCTATGTCCCTCTCAAGACACTTCTATGACCATCTGTAGACACTTCTCTGCCTGTCTCTAGACACTTTTCTGTCCATCTCAAGACACTTCTGTGACCATCTGTAGACACTTCTGCCTGTCTCTAGACACCTTTCTGTCCATCTCAAGACACTTCTGTGACCATCTGTAGACACTTCTCTGCCTGTCTCTAGACACCTTTCTGTCCATCTCAAGACACTTCTGTGGCCATCTATAGACATTTCTCTGCCTGTCTCTATACACCTTTCTGTCCATCTCAAGACACTTCTGTGGCCATCTGTAGACACTTCCCTGCGCTTCTCAAGACATATTTTGAACTTTGAACTCATTATTTTGTGCCAGTATTTGTCTAGTCCACATCTCAGGTTGTTTATCCACATTTGATTGGTCATTTGACATTTAGCTGATAGTAAGAATGCCCAAACTAAGCTGAAGGATGCTCACTGTAGAGGTCATGTTGTTGTTTAACTAGTGATTGAATGGTTAAAAACCAGCTCTTTACATTAAAGGGACCTAGGTTTGTATCTGCAATAGGACATAGGACTTGTATGTCAAAGTAAAATATGCAATCTGCTGAGCACTTCATGGTGTATTGTTTGGCAGTTGGCTTTTATGTCTTTGACCTGTTTTTAAAAATGTCCTTGAAATAGATTTTTGTTTTCAAGTTATGTCTCTTCTGGTGAATCTATCCTTGTTTTCAATTCTATCAGATTAAATGAAGAAACATATGATTAAATTGGCACTTTTACCATTAAACATCATGGAGAGGAGGTGGAAACGAAGAAACATTTAATAACTTTGCACTTTTACCATAAAAGGTAATGGGGGTGGGGGGAAGTGGAGAGAAACAATTTATGATTCACTGCTTGATCGGTAGCAATGTTTATTGTCATTCTGTGTCAGTGCAGAAGCTCTTTAATGTCAGCAGTCTGTCTTCTCCTAGGGTGACCTCTTGCTTTCACATCAAATCTTTTCCTGTGTAGTACCTGCGTTGGCAGTTCTGGCTGCATTCTAACAAGATGACCAAACCATTTGACCTTCTAAAGAAACGTGTGAATGTATAAAATTGGACAGGAGAACTGTGTAGTACAGGACAGGATGACTTCATGTGAGTTGGCTACAGGCCTGGTCTCCATTTGGGGATAAAGAAGAGGAGAAGAAGAAGGGCATGTAATCAGTATGCCATATATTGCATAGGAAAATGCCATTAACATGTTTTATGGAAAGTCTACAGTTCTGGAACAGAAGGTTTACACTACAGACTGCTTGTATAGGGTTGATGGATTTGATGCTTGTGGGTTGATAGGCTTGGTTTGTGTGGGTTGGTGGACTTCACTTATGTGGGTTGGTGAACCTGGTTTGTGTGGCTTGATGGACTTCATTTGTTTTGGTTGATAAATCTGGTTTGTGAGGGTTGAATGGCTTGGTTTGTGTGTAATGATAGGCTTGGTTTGTGTGGGTTGATAGGCTTGGTTTGTGTGGGTTGATAGGCTTGGTTTGTGTGGGTTGATAGGCTTGGTTTGTGTTGGTTGGTAGGCTTGGTTTGTGTGGGTTGATAGGCTTGGTTTGTGTGGGTTGATAGGCTTGGTTTGTGTGGGTTGATAGGCTTGGTTTGTAAGGTTGATAGGCTTGGTTTGTGTGGGTTGGTGGACTTCATTTGTGTCTGTTGATGAACCTGGTTTGTGTGGGTTGAATGGCTTGGTTTGTGTGTGTTGATAGGCTTGGTTTAAGTAGGTTGACAGTCTTGGTTTGTTTGGGTTAGTGGACTTGTGTGTGTTGATGAACCTGATTTGTGTGGGTTGATGGGCTTGTTTTGTGTGGGTTGACTAGCTTGGTTTGTGTGGGTTGGTGGACTTCATTTGAGTTGATTGATGAACCTGGTTTGTGTAGGTTGGTAGGCTTGGTTTGTGGGGGTTGACTGCCTGGGTTTGTTAGGGTTGATGGACGGGGTTTGCATTGGTACACAGGCTTGTTTGTGTGGGTTGATGGGCTTGGTTTGTGTGGGTTCCTGACAGTGGCTAGTAGTGTGTGTATTTATTGTTGAGTCAAACAGGTTGCCCAGTGGCCAGCATACCGGCCTGGCAACCAAGTGGTCATAAGTTGAGATATCAATTGAGACAAAGTATTCACATTGTCTGGGCTCTCAGGTTGACCCTGTTGAAAATGACTGTCACTTGTAGTAGAAACTAATTTGGACGAGTGAGCACAACAGAAAATCTTCAGACCATCAGAAGGAACCCCTGTCACTGAATGTTTGGCTATTTTATCTTCCTTACACTCTTTGGGGGCAGGCCAACCGAGGTCATGACTCCCGGGTTTAATTTCCTATTGTGCAGTTGAATCTTGCCAATAATAAAAGAATGTTCTCAGAAATAATTTGGTGGGTTCAAAAGTTAGTAAAGGACCCTCTTCCATGCCTTTCGGCATAAAGAGGTAGACTAATATTTTAAACACCAGTCACTACTCGTTGAGCGATGTGGTCAGTATCACATTGACTGCCTTTGCTTCCCAGGACTTTACCTGGTACCCATTTAAGGCTGGGTCAACTTGTGAGCCAAGGTCATTTAAAAAACAAAAATAAGTCGGATTTTCTCAGGACCTGAAACAAGTATTGCTGTTATGTTATTGATTACATCACCCATTGTGTGCTTAATTAGTCTTTACAAATTTGAGGGGAGCATCATATACCCAGTACGGCTGTAGATATGGAGATGGGACATGTAGCTTTTATGTTGTACTGACATCTGTATTTCCTTTTATCATGTTGCAACAAATGAGTAAGAACTTTCTGATAAATCTTTTCTGAATAAATCTCATATTTTCTTCCACAATCGTGTCAAGTGTGTTATTATCTGGTGGTCTCTCATACACAGGATCAACTAATGTAATAATTTCACCATTACATGCCTTTCCAACTGTCATGGGTGATCACGCCTCTTCACAACCTGCGATCTTCAGCAGTATTTATTGGCTGATGTACCTCGATGCTGGAACAAACTGCTGTAGAGAATCTTCTAGCATTGTCTTCTTCGATCTCACTTTTCACAAATTAACTGATCATGTTCACATTATTACTTTTTTTTTTGTGTTTAAGGAATTGCGTGGTTTGAAAAACCTTTTCTATGATCAAGGAAAGTAACAAGAGTGAAGGATCCTTCTGTATGCCTTGAGGCATATTGGGCATACAGTTCTAGTCCATATTTTTTACAAACCAACTCTGTGGCTGATGTGGTCAACATCACGCCGGCCACCTTTGCTTCCAGAACTTCATTTGAGGCTGGATCAACCTGGGTGCCGAGGTCATTTTGGGGGGAAAAATGTAGGTTTGACTAGATTTGAACCCACAACCTTTAGATCTGCAGGCGAATGTCTATTACAACACAGTGACTTTGAGAGAGAAGATATTCTGAAATGCTCCTGAGGTTTTCAGTGATGTTTCTAAATAATTGTATGCATTTTTTATCTATTTATTTATTTATAGAGTCAAACTTTTCAATCATCATTCACCAATGCTGTGCCTACTGTTTTCTTCTTATCCCCCATCCCCTTCCATGGCATTTCTAATACTTCTTATCTCAAATGCAATTTTTCATTTAAAGAAGTGAAGAAACAAGTGATACAAATTTAATTCTCACAGTTCTTCACCGGATCAGTGTTTGAATAAAACATTAATTAAATAGCTTACCAGAATTCTTATAAATGGTGAATAAATAAACAGAGGGGGGAACCATTTGAGGCCGTTAAATATTATGAATTAATCAAGTAACAGAAAGTATTGTGAACGGCACTCATATAAATGGTGAATCAGTATTTCAACAGAACACAACATATTTTACAATGATTCTTGTAAATGATAAATCAATATTCTTAAAGACAGTTATATTTTAAATAATTAAATACCACTCTCACACTGAAGATTGGTTGCAGGGCAGCAACTGCTGTCTTTAGGAGTATCACACGGTGAGAACCCAGTCTCTTCCACAGTGTGACTCTTATACTTCTTCTTCTTCTTCTTCTGCCTTTCTATCCCCCAATGGAGCATAGGCCCTCAACCAACTCACGCCAAGTCGTTCTATCCTTCGCCATTGCATGGCTCTCTCCCCATGTCCTCCCAATCTTTCTAACCTCATTCTCCAGCTCTTCTCCATGTGTTTTTTGGCCTTCCTTTATTCCTATGCCCATGTGGGTTCCAATGCAAAGACATTCTAGTTATGCTGTTTTCCTGTTTTCTCAGTGCCCTATCCAACGCCAGCGTCTTTTCCTCACCTCCTGATCCACTGGAGCCTGTTTAGTTCTCTCCCAAAGTTCTACATTAGTTATTCTATCATACCATTTTATTCCCTCTATTCTGCGCAGGCACCAGTTAATGAATGTCTGTAATTTATTAGTAATTGCTTTGGT